GATTTTGCATGGTTTAAGATTTATGTTTGGTCGGCCTCTTAAGATTGATCATGCTACATCGACTGGCTCTAGGCCTTCGGTAGCTCATGTCCTAGTTGAGCTAGATGTTACTAAATCCTATCCTGATATGGTGTGGGTTGGTCCAAAAACTTTAGGGTATATACAATCGATTTTTATGGAGGATTTCCCCTATTATTGCTCCAACTGTAAGTCTTTGGGGCACTCCAAATCTGAATGCAAAATTCTTCATCCCAAGTTAGCTTTAACTAATATTGTTTTGACTAAGGCTGTTGATCCTGCTTTGGATAATGTTAATATTTCAACTCACCTTATTGATGGCCTCCAGCCTATGGCTCGTGTTGTGAAGCCTGAGATTGTGACTGATGCTCCAGCAACTGTGGACACTTTCGTTCTTCCTTTGGAGGTTTCGGAGGAGGTTCCTCTGGCTGTGGTTTGCTTCCATATTAATGCTGATGCTTGTGTGTTGGAGGGTGTTAGTGCGCTTGCTGGTGATCTTTCCCCTATTGTTGTTGAGAAGTCTCCTAGTGGTGGTGTTTCTAGTGAAATTTTGGTGGATACTGTTGAGGGCTAATGTGGTATTAATATGGCCGTGGATGATGGTTCCACTGATTTGGGTGGGTCAACACCTGTTTCTCTAGTAACTGGATCAGATACACTTGTGGGGGTTCTTACGTCTACTCAATTTGTTGATGTGCCAGTGTCTCTAATTTCTAATGTTGCTTTACAAGTTCATTTAGGCAAGTCTAGAGATTGCTATGTGGACCACTCGGATTGGTTGAATGTTTCCCCTGTTAGTCTGGACGGGGATCGAACGGTTTTTGCTGACTCATCTAGGGGTTTTCATGAATCGTATAAGGTGCACGTGGATCTTCTCGTGGAAAATGATTTTCCCTTGGTTGGGGGAAATCATTGTCGCAGGAAATCCAAATAAGCTTTTTGGCGTTTCCTTTGTTTGGATGTTGTGGTTAATTGGTTGTTTGGTTCTTTGGATTTGGATTTGCGACTGTTTTTTGTTAGCTTGGTTAGTATGACTAAGATTTTTAGTCTGGTCAATGATGAGGCGAACCTGCGAGTTATCTGATCGTATGGCTTGTTGGCAACCATTATTGGCAGCTTCTTGTTGGTCTTCGTGCGGTATATTGATTTTTCTAGCCCGTTGCTTTCCCTATAGATGGACCTAGTCTATCATTTGGATGGTCGCAGTGGTTCGCCACTAATTGAACCCTTTTGTTGATTCCCCCTTTCTTTTATGGTCAATTGCTCCCATGTGTTTTTTTCCTTTAGCAGATATTTGTTTCTTTTTCTTTGGATGCTTGTATCTTCCCTTTTATGAAATAAAATTTCTTGTTAAAAAAAGAAGAAGAAGTAATGGACACTTGAATCAAGTTGCTCAGAAAAAATACTCATCAAGTAGCTTATCTATTTCTCTTCATCCTAAAGTCTTTAATTAAGATAAAAGATACATTTGCCTATAAAATTTATCAATTGAAATCGTCAAGTTGTCTACCATTATTCACCCAATCAAAGCGAGCTCCCCAAGATAACTCATTAAGAAATTTGCCAGAGAATTCACTAGAAGGAATTCTTACAAGAGTTATCCAAGTACTTGGATATCTACCAACTAACAAGACGTAAAATGTTAAATCTTATTTTTACAATAAGTAATATTAAACCTTGCTATATAATTTTATTTGTGCTTTCTTCTAAGAAATTAAAAAAAAGGTAAAAATATAGTGATCAAAAACTATTTCAAACAAAACCTCAAATTACTCCGATTTTGTTCGCCAGTACATTCAAACATAAATCTCGTAAATTCTCAAAGTAAGCCCCACACACACAAAATAGTTTACATATTCGAATAATTTCTTAGCTGATAATTCAAAGTGACCAAAAATTATCTCAAACAAAGCCTCAAATTACTCCGATTTTGTTCGCCAGTACATTCTAACATAAATATAGTAAATTCTCAAAGTAAGCCCCCCACAGAAAAAATAGTTTACATATTCGAATAATTTCTTAGCTGATAATTCAAAGGTGCAGCCCTATAAAGATGATTATAAAACTAATGTAGATAAAATAACTTTTTTGAAAGCTGCTATAAAAATAATTTTCTAGTACATAATTTTTTTTTAAAGAAACAAAAAAAATAGTGATCAAATAGAAATTATGATTGCGATATGAAAAGCAAAGCATCAAGAAAGCTGTCCCAAATGAAACATAAGGCTTCGTTTGTGATAACTTCCTTGCTACTTTGTAAAGTTACAGTGTAGATGATAAATTTTTAAAGTTGTTATAGAAAAGATGTGGCCTTCTTATCTCCTAAGAATGTCATGCCTGGCCCAGACGTATATGCTTCGATTTTTATGCTGATACTCGGTAAGTAACTGGCAAAATTGTGGTTACCTCCCTAACAAAGTTAAAGCCATAGGTATCTCTCTTATCCCCAAAGTTGCTAATGCGGGTAGCATAAAAAACTATAGGCTCATTTCTCTTCGCAATTTTTTTAATAAAATTATTGCAAAAATTCTTACTAATATGTTTAAGCTTATTATTCCCTTTATCATTGATCATGCCTAAGTTGGTTTCATCAAAGATAGAATATCATTTGATAATATTCTTCTAGCCTCTAATTCAACAAGGATAAGAAAGAGGGATTTTTTGTGCCAAATTTCATATTTACAAGGCTTTTGATACGGTTTTAAGGAATGTTTTACTACACAGGATGAAACTTAAGAGGTTTCCAAATAGCTTTATTGGCTAGATTAGAACATGCATTGAGAATGTGCATTTCTCTCTTAGTATCAATGGTAACTTGGATGATTACTTCAATTCCTCATCGGGGCTAAGCCAATGCTGCCTCCTCTCCCCAATCTTCTTTGTATTGTTACGGATGCTCTATCTCTCTTTCTCTGCCACTTTAAATGCTAAAATGGGAATGAGAATTTTGGAGGTATCTATATGGGCAGAGTTAACATATCTCATCTTTTATATGCCAATGACCTTCTAATTTTTGGGAAGGCCTTTGCGTCGACTTTCACTTCTCTCAAGAACTCCCTTAGCCTTTTTGGGAGGATTTCGGCCCTTAACATCAATCCTTCTAAGAGTTTCATAATGTTCTCTAATACCTCTCTCTCCTAGATGGTTGGAAATGCAAATCTCTTTCAGTAGCTGGGAGATTACAGTACCTCAAATTTATCATAGCTAATCCTATAGCAAATTGGATTAGAGGACCCATTTTATCAAAAACTTGCATCAAATATCTCAATAAGATATGTGCTTGGTTTCTTTTCCCTGGCGATATAAATGCAAAAACGTTGCATCTTATTTCTTGGAAAGACGCATGTAAACCACCTATTTATGAAAAAATTATTATGTGCCAATTCGGACACACCACGTCACCCAAAACACATTGCATTGGATGACATGGCGCGTCCGGATTGACCTCCGATTAGGAATTTCGATCCATTTGTAAAACCGGATCAGGTTCGGTTTGACCTGGAAACCCGAAATCAACCCGATTTGACCCTTTTTTTATTAATTTAGGAGGGTTTTAAGAGATTGTTATGAAATAAGTAAATGATATTTCTAAAAAATAATAAACATTATTACCAAAATTAAATTAAATTAAACTTGATTTATTTTAAATTGATTGAAATAAATCTTACCTTAATTTGATTTCGGTTTAAATAAATCGAATTAAATAAAAAAATAGTAAAATATATCTAAAATGGGTCAGGTTCGGGTTAGGAAAACCGACCCATTTGCAAAAAAATGGGTCGGGTTCAGGTCGGGTCGAATAGTGTTGTGTCAGTTTCGGGTTGACCCGAACCTGACCCATGACCCATTACCCGATTTTGACAGCTCTACCTGTTGATACTCGTCCTACTGTGAAAAATTCCATACAAAAGCACGATTGGGTTCTTCCTCCTAGATTTCCTGAGGCTCTTAGACTGCTCATTTCTGACATTTCCATTCTTAGGGATAACTCTAAATACATTCATTGGGGTGGCAAAGCCAAGCCAATGATTAAAAACTTTATTTTCTCTATCACTCTAATGCTGATATATTTACCATCTTTCATGATTTTCTATAAGCATCTGGTTTGGTCAAAATATAGCTCAAATTTCAGAAACACAATATCAATTGTCAACACAATTTCAGTGCAAATTTAGATATTTCGGAGCAAGCATTAACATCAGCGACTTCAGAAAAACAATTTCAAAACAATTTCAGAAATTTTGGAAACGCAATATCAGATTTTCAGAAAACTCGGAGCCATTATCAGAAAATTGAAATTTCAAAAACTTAGCACAACACATTGTTACAAAAAAGGTGCAAGTGGCTAACCTGGGAGAACTGGAGAAGCTCACGAGTCTGGGACGAAAGAGCTGCAAGCAACCAACTTGGGAGAAACACAAGAAGAAACAAACGAAGTGGGAGCAACTCATGACCTGGGAGAGCAAACTCAGAGTCTGCGTGAGTGAATCGTTGTTTTTTCTTTAGGGTTCAAATGGAATTAGTGAAGTTGCTTGTTAAAAGCTTAAATCTTAAAGTTAATATGCGTTTTCAGCCCTCAGATGTGTGATCAGCAACTCACATTAAAGATTTTTGAAACTGAGATGTTCAACTTAATGCGGGCGGTCCGCCGGTTCAACTGGCGGTTTAGCCGGTTCGATTACAAACCGATTCTTACTCTTGGACTGGACCGGCCTCCGGACCGATCCTAGGTCCAATCAGTTGAACTAGCCGATCCAATTTTTAAAACCTTGATGCAAACACAATAAGGTCAAGGATTTACTTATTTAATTAGAATCCATTTGGGATGACTACAACTTTGCTAAAGCTGATTGTAAAATTATTGTAGAAAAAATAATTTTTTGAAATCAGCTTCCGAGCACAAAAATTTATTAAAAATAGTGAAAAAATAATAATCAAATAAAAATTATGATTATAATCTGAAAAACAAAACAATAAGAAAATTGTCTTAAATAAAGCCTTCATCAATGAAGTCTGAACAAGTATTTATAGAGCAATAATGTACTGTCATGATAAATTTTAAATAATTCAAGTAAATGTGCACAACATTATATCTTCTTCTTTACAAGTACAGAAAGATTCGAAGAGTTCATATTAATTAAAGCTTAATCAAGAAACTCATCATTCCAGTCTGGAAAATATTTGTAACTAATTTTATGCATGTGAGCTCCAACTCTATCACGAGGTATAAGGCGCAACTCTGAACCGTGTTTAAGAAATACATTGCCTATGAGCAACAATCAAACAGTGCAAAGATTATTACCAGAACAATAGTGCAACGCCAATAGAACTTGCTCTCAAATTCAATAAAAAATAACAAGAAGAAAAATAAAATGGGGAAAATCTGTATATAGTTATCAATTATCACAACTGGCAAAGACCATTTAAACGAGATTTGTGTGCAAAAACAATTTCTGGTAACAAAGAATCAATGTTGATGAAAATAAATAAATCCAAACTATTATTGCAAGAAAGCAGCATCAGTTGTAAGCAAATCAACCTACATTAAAATAAATCTAAATCAATTGTGAGACACTTTACTTCGCAACATGGCATCTATATCTTATCAAAACATATGTAGCATTTTCAAATGCTATTAGTAGAAGTGTTGGCAGTAAAAACACAAAGACACCCTAAGCTGAAGAAACTCCATCTAATTGTAGATCATGATCAGACTCCGATCTTGATGCGGTCTATTTAGGAAGAGCTAAAGCAAATTCCTTTAGAGAAATATCAACAATGTTGGAAGGAGGAATGCCTCACTTTAATATGGAAAAATTCGAAATCGGGAAAAAACTATGGAGCCACAATACACCAAAAAAATTTGAGAGAAAAAGTATAAATCTCTTTTCTCTCCCACTATCTCATTGCTTCTCTTCAACATTGCACCATTCTCACACTAGAACATATAAAGAGGGCAACCAAACCACCAAGGGCGCAACCCTTAATGAAAAACAAGAAAGAAAAACTGACCGCCTGTTTTGCAGTGCCACAGAGCCAAGTTGGAGTGCCGCAACTCTCAACTCTCTGTCAACAATTTTCTTGACAACGCCATAGCTCTAGGGTCTGGAGCGCCACAGCCGCAGCACTGGATTTGGGGCTCCATAGTGCTCAACTCTCTGTTTTTCTCCAAGCAAACTATGCAATGCTGGAGCACTCGTGTACACAATATCAGAGCGTTGTATTGTTGTGCGAAAAAAATGGTGCAAATTGCCCAAACCCAAGCAGGAGGAGGACCCCCTGCAACCCGCCGACGAGCTCTATTGATATAATTGAGGTCCAAGGCAGCAGTACAACCCGATTAATCGACAAAATCAAATTCCACACAAAACTAACATATCTTTTTTTAGTTTTATTTATTTCATACTTATCTAATTTTATATAAGTAGCACTCTGCTAACATTGAAATCAAAGGGAGGATAACGCTTTTTTCTTGAAGTTTGTCTATTGGGAGAAGGGCTTATGAATTTAGGGATTCATACTTCTTGATGTCTTGTGGTCAAGCGCTGATAATAAGATGTATGATATATGCATATTGGAATTCATGCTTCTTGATGCCGTAGTTATTATACGCTTGTTATGTTTATCTGTTCTTAATTAAATACCATATTTAAATTTGGATTTGCTAATTTAATAGAGGAATACTAGGAAAGGAACTTGAATTAAATGTAAAATTTGAATTTAAATTTAGATTTCATTTGGAATTGTTGTTGAGTAATTTTAATAGTTGAAGAAATCTAAGTGTTTAGGTGGAAGAGAGAGAAAGAACCAAAGTTTGCAACAAAATAGCAAAATCAATAGGAAACATGAAGAACATATAAAACATGTGATACAGAATAAATCCACCTCAATCCATTATGAGCTTATTTTTTGAGTATGATATGATCATCCATGCTTGTATTGAGGTTCAATATTAGTAAATTTCCGTTATTTTTAGAACTATTTTTGACATTTTTATATTTGTTAGAGGTAGTTTCATCTTTTTTCATAAGGCCAGTTTTCTACTAATATGACTAAGAGTTTGTAATTCAATTAGTTGAACTTAATAATGAAATAACAATAGCTTTTACTCTAGCATTCTTTCCATAGTTGATTTATTTCTCCAAACCTTATATATTCTTCTTGCCTCTTCATATCTCTCATGCATCCTTCCTTGAAGATGTTATTTCATCTAATTTTCTTATCTCTTCAGTCTTCATATCATTATCTCCTTAATTCTTCATTTAAACAATTTTTTTTCTATTTATGTTGCCGCCTCTGTCAGCACGATATTAAATAGGGAATCTTCAACACATTCGATTCCCTTATCTTCAAGGTAAGAAAAGTAGAATGCCCATACAGGATTATATATATCAAGGACCTAAAACCATAATCAAGTATGAAGGATTCTTATACTTCTTACATTTAAAATTGATTTCAAATTAAAAAGATAAAAGAAAATTTTAGCAAAAAATGATAATAAATCCATAAAAATATGAAAATGAGGCTAATTTAGTGCATTTGTCACCTTATTCAACAATTTAGGATTGCAATATGTGAATCCAAGTCTGTCTGAACCAAATTCATTAAATGGTCAAACCATATTGACGATACTACATTATCGTGGTAAATATCTGAAGTAGCCAGAACGTTCATACATCTTCTACCGTTTATTATAAGTTGATAGATCTTATAATCACAATCAAAAGAAGTTTAAAATATAAAATTTTTTTTATTAGATCTATCTTTAGGTGTAACAACAATGCATCTCACTGCATTTAAAAAAGGTTCCAATTCAACATATTCCAAATCATTTATCTTTTATCAATTCATGAATGCCACCTCCTTCATTCATTTCCTCATCATCTTTGACTACCACATCACTATTTTAATTCATTTTTGGGCAGTAAGTTGCATGATAATTGGTTTGAAAGCATTAAAAATGTTTCGTGAAAATTTTAGAACTGGCTGTACTTGTAATGGAATTTTCTTGATTATCCTTGTTAATGGTGGTATTACCGTAATCTTAATGTAGAAGATACAAAATTTTGAGTTTGAATATTTTTGACGATGAAATAAATTTATAGTGTGTATTAACTTTTTTAAATGAATGAGATTTCAATATTTACTTAAAATTTATTGTTGCAATTTGAAAAGTATGCTCAAATGATGGAATCATCTGAGGCCTGATGGCCCTGATCTCTCTTTTAATTTCATGCATAAAGCCAATCAAAATCTAGAAACTGATACTTTTGGGATCTTCCATAATCCATCACTTCAATATGCATCAATAATTCCAATTATTTTATCTCTTAAGTAACAATCTATGTTCCTTGTTTTAAGGAATTAAAATCCATCAAACAAACAATCAGGGTATGATAGTGGGAGAACTTTTATTTCAAGCCAAGTTATAAACTATCAAACCTCTCTCTTTATTTTTTCATGCTTACCCAATATATCTTAGTTTCTCCAATTATTTTAACTTAACACATCTCACTTAATACTAACCAAATTAAAGTAACTTATTAAATCTCACTTAAAGCTAGCCAAATAAAGTTTTTCATTCAATAGTTTATTTAAATCCAGAAAATATTAAGGGAAAAAACTTTAGGATCTTATCCTTCCATTAGATCTTCATGCTACACTTATACTTTCTTAGTAATTTCATCATCCTCATCCTCATGGGACTGTAAATGAGTCAAGTCGAGCTCGAGTCACTTCTAACTTGAACTTGAGCTTGATTAATTAATCGAGTTCAAGCTTGGGCTCAAGCTTTATTCTACGAGTTCCAGCTGGCTCGTTTATTATGAAGAGAGAAAATGATTATGATTTAAGCAATTATTATAATAAAATTATAAAAACAATAAGAAATTATAAGAACAATAATAAATAATTACTTAATAATTAATATAAGAAATTTGGATATAATTTTGAAATATTTTTAGCAACTTTGTATTTAAAGTCCTGAATTCTAATATATTGTAAGTATATTTTATATTAATATTTTTTAAACGAACTGGCTCACGAGCTTATGAGTCAAGTCGGAGCTAGCTCAAGCTTGGCGAATTAGCTCATCGAGCTCGAGTCACGAGCCATTTACCATGCCGAGCCCGAGTCACGAGCCATTTATCGTGTCGAGCTCGAGCCGGCTCGCAAGTCTCCTTGACTCACACCCCTACATACTCATATGTATGATATCTATTAACACCATAGGTCTTATAATCATAAATTCTGCAAGTATATTATTTTGAGAATTTCTACCATGTTGAATTTCATGCAGTCTAAGCCATTTAAACCTACTTCTCATTCATCTATAGAGTTAAAATTCACTTCTCGTTCACTGGAAAGAGAATGAGCCAATGCTAAAATTTAATTTCTTCCTCTAAATTGATCTATATCTTCTCACATTTGACCTTATATATCAACACAATTAATTGCTTTTGCAAGTTTTCTAAAATTTCATCCCCTTTCTTAATCGGCTAACATTGCCTGATATTGAACCCCACTTCTAGCAGACATTATGACCTAACCTTAGGTTTTAATATCAATTTGAGTATGTGAGTTGTTAAACCCATTCAGCACAAATATTTTCATAATTTTTTTTCTTTTTCTACCTTCATTATACCATTTTTCTATTTATTCTTTGACATTAGTTTCATCAACCAACTTAATAGGTGGATTTTTTTCCATTATTGTACATATTCAAATCACCTAAATCAATTTTTCACTATCTTATCTTCGAATCTTCGATAAATGTTATTCATCACCTCTCTAATGTAATTATTCATGAAAATATTTTAGAGACATATTCAACTCACATTTTGATTTCCATCATCAACTTCACTATCACTAATTTTTAACAGTGAGATCATAACATAGAAAGTAAAAGGGTTGCTTTTCAGACAACTTATAGTTATCATCTTTATTCTACCACTTATGAAGCTAACTTTTGCACAATAATTTTATCGTTGCCTTATATGTTCATCTTCTACACGGACTAAATCACTCATTTATATTATTCTCAACTTCAATGGGACTATTTCCACTTCTTTAAAATTATTATTTAATTTTATTCATTCAAAGTTTTAACATATTCATCTTTGCATCCCTCTATCATACTCAACCAAGTCAGAAAATTCTTTGTTACCCCCCGGGTCAAAATCACATTATATAAATGGTATAATTATGCAACTATCTCAAATTCTACATGCTATTCAATAATTAGCACAGTGTACTCACAAGGCACTTTTCCTCTTCAAGCGTCAGCTTTGCTCTAAAAGCTATGTCCTCGTGAGAATATTGGTAGGCTACACTAAATAAATGGTTATATACTAACTAAATGTGAATTACCAAAACCATAAGCATAATGATCAACACCAATAACTGCTAGTGAATAAAAAATGAATCAATACATCTAGTTACAAAGTCATATTTTAATTAAAAGTGGTGTTCATGAATATTTATATTTTTTATGAAATCAACATCTGATACCATTCCAAAAAATTTATATGATCGGTGCATATCTCAAGGCAATATTTAAATTGCAAAATTTTATAAGTAAATTAGAGATCATCTGAATTCCAATTTTAGCAAACTTATAGTCGAACTGATCTTCTCAACGACACAAACCTATCGGCACAATAAATGATTCGATCTGAATCCAAATAAGCTCAAAATCAAGCACTTGAATTATATTTGAAAACTTATAAACATGATAGATTAGACGACATCCAATTATAACATGCTTATAGTCAAATCGAGCGGCTCGATGAAACGAATCTAACGAGCACATGATCACTTGATTCTGACATAATTAATTCATTCTAATGTTTGATAAACGATCTACGATCAAGTGACTCAATATGGGTAGTACGACAGAGTGCTTTGGATTCTGAACAACTTAACAAAAATGCTCATATAAAAAATGCCTATAAATAGAACCACATTCTCTATCAAGAACTGGGATAACTAAAGAGCTCTTTTTGCATTTTCTAGCTATCACTGCCGACAACAACCATCAGCCATCATCGCCACCATCTCCTCCTGTTAAGATCTAACACAATTGTTGGATTTTTAACAGTTCGCTTGTGGACATCTAAATTCTATAATCCCTACAATGGGAACCACTCAATTGTTCTCAATATAATCTCTTCTTCAATTATGAGGAAGAGACGAGTTTTTTATCTCTTATTCTATAGTGGATTATTGCAACTAGGTTAGGCCTCATGCTATTTCCCATTTCCGGATTTTCAACATAAAAATCTTCTAACAACAAGTTTTTCTACGCGTGTTAGATTTTTGTACAATATTAAGACATAAAACTCCCACTCTACTGCAACAAATTTTTTATCACGTAACAAAACCATAATGCCAAAAGCTTTGGTGGGTTAATACATGATTGACCTAAAACATAGCAGGCTTTAGCTTTATTCAGATATTGGAGTAGCAAAGATAAACAAACAAAACTAGAATAAAGAGACAATAATATCTAGATGAATTCTGGAAAAGATAACTAAGGCACTAGGGGAATACCTGCACTTTGCTGAGGGTTGATCCCAACACCATCTGCACAAAGAATGATGACATCACACACAGATTAGAGCAACACAAGCAAAGAAAAATGATTGCATGAAATTCTTCACCTAAAAACATTAAATTACTCTAAGCTACAACTACAGTAATGATCATATTACAAGAAAGCATGCTACAATCCTCAAGGAAACCTTATTTATAATATAGGTCTTCGAATATGGTGCTTGGAAGTTGGAACTTAAAAAACAAAAAAATCTAATGGCCAAAAAAGATAGGTCATACGTATTTACTTCTTACTAATATGTCGACAATCCTTATTATTCAACTTTAACATTAGAAGAGTTAACTAACCCAAGACTTTAACCATTTGCTTTATCATAATTGGTGGAGCAGTAAACTGCCCAAAGTTCCATCTTCATCGTACAAAAACCTCTCTATCTCCTACTTACTTTTCCTCCCCTTCCCACTTTCAGTGTGCTTAAACCCTCAATATTGTCCTTATTACCGTAAGTGGCTTCTCTTTAAAAGAACCTCAGCCTTTCCCAATCAACCATCAAGGACAAAGAGGAAGATTACAATATGTTTAGATCAAAGGACCTTTTCATCAGCAGGATTTTCTAAGAAACAATAGTGGGAAACTTGAAAGACTAATTACAAATGATGATGAAGTAAATGGACATGAAAAAGCCAAGGAGCTTTGAATACATTCCCATCATGTAATACCTTCATGACACTAACACCATTGCCAGTCATACATTGAGACCTCTCTTTTAGATGTTTTTTTCCTAGTAATTGGACATTCCATCTTAAATCTTGTTTATCCTATAAATTGATTTCTTTGATCTAGGGTTGTTTGGTTAATTTTAGTGATCATCTTTCACTATGGGTTGAGAAGGTCCCTTGATTTAGTATTGAAGTGTTGATTTTTGTGTGAAAAGACAAGCTAATGTTGTTTCAATTGTTAGAAAGATATTCTAATTTCATTATAATGTTGGTTTTGAGAAGATTATGCTAGTTTTATATGAGTTTTCTTATTTTATGAAGGACTTGTGGTGTTTTGAGTTAATGTACTTAAAACAAGGAGCATGAATTGTAATAATTGTGTTATTATACCTAAGTTTCAAGTTAGGCTTAGGATGTTATGTTATCATGTATTAAATATGTTGGCAACTAAAGAAAGATGCGAAGTTCACAAACTATAAATTTGAATGTAGCAAGCACAAAATTGTGAAAATGGACTAAGAGAAAGGATGCATTGTTATCATTAATCGCTAACATGTCTGAAATCCTCATATGGCTAAGGAGACATGATTTTCATATGCATAGCCTAATTCCAAGAAGCAATACAATGGAGCGCAAGTCTGTATTTCAAATATTGATTGATATGACAAGTCAAACCAGAGAATCATACAACAACAACATCAAGCCTTTATACCACTACATGGGGTCAGCTACATGGATCATTTTTCTCCATTGTGTTCTATTAAGAGTCAAATTCACATTTTAATCTAATAAACAAAAGGTTATTTCTAATACTTTCTGATTAAGTCTTTTTAAGTCTACTTCTACCTTTCTTGATATAGGCTGGTTCTAAAACATCTACTATCCTAATCGGGTCATTGAAAGGCTAATGTTTTATGTGACCAAACCATCTATGATGACTCTATCTAATCTTATATGTCATTGGAGCTACTCCAACTGTTTCACGTATATACTCATTTCATAGTTAAAAGAGAAAAATATAAGAGATAAGCTAGTAAACCCCCACCCTTACTTATTCCAATGCATGAAGATCAAATAGCACTACCTAGGTGAGGGTCATACATTGTATGTCGATGACACAACTGCAACTAACATGGAATAATATTGTTCCTATACATCACATTCCATTAAAAAGTATGATCATGTTGAAGTGAAAGATGCCTTGCAAGAGTAATCTAGACAACCACAAACTAATCGAGGCACCCACAATTGTTGCTTACCCAACCGATTCCCATGTTACCAAATTTTAATGCATTGAATCTTTTAGAAATTCCCTAAAACCGTAATGCAATTAAAAAAAGCATCAAAATTAAGCAAAATTGTCTAAAGAGGTTAAGCACCATTTATAAGATTATAGGATTCAATTAGAGGGCTATACTTCACTTTGCACATATGGTTGGACCTTTGAGATGTGAAAGTTGAATGGCATATACAATATGTCAAGTATCAAAAAGGTAGGAACTTTGCATGAGCCATGGAAAACTATGATAAGAAAATCCAAAAATACCAATGTTTGAACTAATTGACACCATTTGAGGAATAGTCCAGGAAGATATGATGATACGAGCCATATTTCTGCAAGGTGGAAAGGACATCTAGTTCTACTAGTCAAGAAGCATATAAAAGATTTCAATTCATAAAAAAGATTCATAATTGTCATACAAGAGAAAGAGTGGCTGACTAATATAAAAGGGGATGTAGCTATAGAACTTCGCAGATAACTGATGTACCTTGTAGACATGTTGGACCATTCATGGGTCAAAGCAAAGATAAGATGTACCACATTTATATTGATAATTACTACCAAAATCACATGTAAAGAATATGACTAATAATATTATGTAGATCTCAAGACATTAGTTTCTACAACATGATTTTGTTTCTAAATATAAAGCATATGCCTTGTTGTTATGTTTAATATTGAAGAGGTAAAATGCTACTTTCCTTACTATTATATGCAATGTTGTTGAAAGTATATTGAATTCTTGATGGAAAAGTTTTCTTTAAGGGTTGTTTAGTTGCAAGATTTAGCCGAGATTGAGCTAGAATTTAGGGTAACTATTGTCAAGTAGGTTTATGAGCCACATACATTCTTCTAAATTCTTAATTCTACTATTCTCCCATTTTAGGCAAAATTTTAGATATAATAAAATCCTGAGGGAAGTAGAATTAAGAGACTTACACCACTTATCCTAATTATGCCTCTTTTCTCCTTCATTTACATTCCGAATTTTAAAAATATATGTCAAAGAGTTTACTAGGAATTAACCACATATAACATCCACCATTCCAAAGAGTTTTCAGGGTTTAATGCCTTTGAAATTTACTAAATCTGTATTTAGTACATTCTATAATTTCTATTTGAATTAAATCTAACTTGCAGCAAAACAGTCCCTAAGATAATTATCAAAATATTTCTTCTAAATTAACATAAAGTAATAAAAATTGGTATATTTCTAAGTGTTAATTGATCATTTTGATATTGATATACCAGTACAACAACAACAACATCAAGCCTTTGTCCCACTACGTGTGGTCGGCTACATGAGTCCTTTTTCACCATTTTTGCCTTGTTAAAAGTCTAATTCTCATTTAAATCTAATAAAGAAAGATCATTTCAAATATTTTCTAACCAAGTCTTTTAGATCTACCTCTACCTTTCTTAGCATAAGTCAAATCTAATACCTCAACGTTCCTAACCGGGTCATTGGAAGGCCTCCGTTTAATGTGACCAAACCATCTAAGGCGACTCTCTCTAATCTTATCTTCCACTGGAAGTCTGGAACTACTCCAACCTTTTCACATATATGCTCATTTTGATATTGATATACCAGTGAATTCAAGAAATTAGGATGATATATTAATAAATATATATGCCTAGTGCGATGACAAATCAAATCCTATCAGATGAATGTAAATCCATTCCATTCTACAATCACTACAAAAAAGCATAAGCCGTTTCCATTTAAATAAAAAAGGAAATCTTATTAATTGACTCTCGCTCATATACAAAACATAAACTTTTACAATAACACATACCATTGGTGATTATGGCGCTGGTCTGCGGAGGTACTTTGAACTCCTCGGCGGCGAATTTCAGCACGGCAGTAAAGGGCGCCGCCTCTGGCACGCTAAATCTGAATTGCAGTGATAAGAGCATTAAAACAAAACTGGAAACAGAAAAGAAACCCTAGCTAATCGACAAAGCAGGTAAAGCTTGGATTGGAGTCAAAAAAAAAAAAATCGAAAAGCTCACACTTTGAAAGGAAGCTTCGGATCCGAGGTCAGGGTGACCTTGAACGAAACCTTGCCGCCGGTTGCTGATGCTTCCATGCCGACGGGGAAAAGAAACGGAATACAAGAGACGGGAAGAACCTGTTTGAATAGTTGGAAACGGGTCGATGATATCTTTGGGTTTAATCACGTGCATCGCAGGTGGTTAGTCAACTTTTTTTTTTACTATTTTTTAAAATAGTTTTCTATTAAAACATTTTTTCATATAAAAATTTTGTTTCTAAAAATGTCCCGAGTAAAATCTTAGTCTATTCTATATACAGTTTTTTGCCATTATTAAATTACTTTAAAAAAATTATACTAAAAAGCTGTAGAAATTATTCTGTGCAGGTACCGAATGGTTCGAAGACTAATTAGAACGCGTCATATCACCTGATACACAACAGTATCGAGCACTGGTACCAAGCAAAAAAATGACATGACGCATTCTGATTGATCTCTAAATTCTCTCTCGGTCTGCACAAAATAATTTTCAAAAAGTTGATTTAAAAATTAAAAAAAAAAAGACTTCTTTACAGTTTTCATAACCATCTTTCTATAAGAATATTTTTTACTTTAAAAAATAATAAGAAATTATTCCAAACAAATTCATAATTCTTGCCGTTACTGCATAAAATTATTTTCTCCCAGAAAATTTTCAGGATGAAACGGCAATGGAATAACTACATTAATCACATATATCAGGCGGCATATAATAAATAAATGTTTACAAACGGCATGTAATGGCTATGTCATCAATTAGCTAAATTATTATTTAATATGCAGCTCATTTTGATTTGTTCATCGGTAAAAGGTTTTAAATTAAAGTCTTAGATATATAATATGTGTATGAATTTATTTTAATTGATCTAATTATTTCAAAAAATTATCATTTAATTTATATTTCAGTAATTTTCAAAATAATGGAGTTCAAACATATCAATGGGCTTTTCTTTTGAAATAAATTTATGTGAGAATGTTTTGATATTAAAGTTATGATAATGAATTTTAATGTTTTTAATTTTATGTTGCGATTAATGCAATTTAAGCTGTTATATATATCATTAAATTCAATATAAATTCAAAGATATATAAGTCAATCTTAGGATCTTTTATATTCTTGATATTTCACCACAAAATAGTTTTGATCAGACGTGAATCTCGATGCAAATATGAATTGAAAATATTTCAAATTAAAATCGAGATCATCTAAACTCCGATTTAAGCAAACTTATAGTCAAACTGAAGGTCTTGAAGAGACAAACCAACGACATCAAAATCAGTTCAATCTGAATCCAAATGAGTCCAAATCAAGGGCCGTAGCATGTTTAGAAGCTTCCTAACATTAATTTGATGACCAAATGATATTCAAATGTGACAGGCTTATAGTTGAATTGAGCGTCTTCTTCCATAATTATAATAGTTAATTAATATATTTTAAAATACAAAAAAAAATTATATACTTAATATTATATTTTAATTAATTAGTACTAGAATATTTAAGTATGATATATCTTCAAAAAATTATCTTGATTGGATACAAATCTCGAAGCAAAATCAAGTTGGAAACTTCGGAAATTAAATTCATGACCATTTGAACTCCGATTTCTGCAAACTTACAATTGAACTGGACGACTTGGAAATACGAACCCAACGGCCCCATATTCGACCCAATCCAAGCTCAAATAGATCCAAATCAAAAACTCAAAGCACATTGGAAGGTTCAATCCATAATTTGGATTACCAAACAGTTTCCAAATGTGAAATGCTTATAATCGAATCGAGCGGCTCGACGAGACGAATCCAATGAGTCCAAGATCATCAAATTTTGATATCATTAAGAATTCAAATGTCTAGTAAACGGTCCATGATCAAGGGATTAAACATCGGCAGTCCATTCAAGCCATTCCTAATTTATCCTTGATCTTCATTCTATTTCCTGGTCATGCCACTCTCAAAAAATTATAAATGGACCCGTCATTTATCATGGAAGGGGGACCCAAGCAAGAAATAGAAGCAAGGAGAGACTATATTTCTCTTGTCACCAAGCTCCTCCTCAACCACCTCCCGGCCACCGACCGTCGTCGGACTTTTCACTAGATTTTTGCCTGGCAATCGACTTATGCTGGATTTCCACTCGAGTTCCAATTATTATTGGACTTACACCTGACCTTCAACTGATGCCGGACTTCCACCCAGCCACCAACTGACATCGGATTTCTGCCTGGCCACCAACTGAAGCTGGATTTCTACCCGGCCACCAACTGACGCCGCATTCTTCTTTGTCACCAATTGACGCCGGATTTCTTCCCGACCACTAACTGATATTGGACTTCTGCCCGACCACCTATTAGCGCTAGACTTCAACTCGATCGCTGACCGAAGCCGGACTTCCACTCGGTCACCGACTAATGCTGAACTTCTACCCGGGTTCCAGTTATTTTTGGACTTCCACCCGACAACGGTCCTTTCAACCCCTGTCGCTAGATAACAGTCCTTCTGACCTCCGTCACATGCCGATAATGGTCCTTCCGACCTGCATCGCCCACCGATTATGGTCCTTCCAACCTCTGTCGCCCACCAACTAAAGTCTTTCCGACCTCCGTCGCCAAACAACGATATTTCCGACTGCCGTTACCCGTCGACTATGGTCATGCCAACCAAACTAACATATCAATATTGATTCTTCTAATTTCCACCGTGTAATGCATTCTATATGATGTATATTAGTTATATCAAGTCAAGATCTTCCCTCCAATGAAGAACCTCCTTTGTAATGATTGTAAATACTAATTGATTCATTCAAACTAGGCCAGGCCCCATGGTTTTTCCCCTTTTCAGGCGTCTCTTATAAATGTTATACCATCTCTTTTTTTATCTGATTGTGTGTTGGATCTTCGTACAAAGCTAAGACGTTAAACTTAATATTTCTCTACTGCCGCGAATATTCCAGGACTCAATAAAGTGATAAATGAGATAATTAATAATTAAAACTAATTTAAGTAATTAATTTCATATTTAAATCTGTAATAGCCTAATTCCTGAGATCTGTTGCCAAACAGTTTCTCATAATTTAACAAGATTTAACATTTGTCATACCAATCAATTTTTAGAATTTAAAAGCCTCGGGATTTACTAAATCAGATCCAATACTAAACAGCCCCTAAGAGGAGAAAAATATGATCATCTCACCGCTGGAAAAAAAAAATCTACAATTTACTTAAAGTTATACAAAGATGATCATCTTCAAGCAGTTGAATGAATTTCAAAACAAGAAAGTCAGTTTCCTCAGATCCTCAGTTGGCATATATACAACTAGTAGTTAATGACATCATAAACGCAATTAGGGGTGTCAACTTTTGACACGACCCGAAAATCCGACCCGGATCCAACCCGGAAAATCCGGGTTGGACCCGACCCGTTTGAGTCGCCGTCCGCCAGCAGCGGGTTCGACCCGAACCGGGTCGGGTCGGGTCAACCCGGCAACCCGCCGGGTCGGGTCCGGGTTCGGATTTCCGACCCGTTTGCCTTCCCGGGTCGGGTTAGGGTCGACCCGTTTGAACCCGGTTAGTTCTGGGTTCGACCCGAACCCGACCCGTGACCCGAAATTGACACCCCTAAACGCAATGATTGTGATGGTCCAATGAATAGATTTTGCCAAGAACGATTGCAAGAAGGTTCATCAACTCTTGAAAGAATCTAATGAGGCCACACATTGTTAACTACAAGTGACTGCAATATTTTCTGAAAGGAATGACTCCATAAATACCGCCGAGCGGAAAGGTTTCGCCGGTTTAGATTTTCCGACCCCCGAATTATCGTCGGAACAGTTTTCGCCGGAAAGAGAAAATTTCTAACGGATTTCTAGTGTTATTGGCGGATTTTATCCGTCGGTAACAGAGCGTTTTCCTGTAGTGCTAGTAGCTGATACTTCGCAGTCATTTGGTTAGTGCCTGAAAGAGAGTGGAGGGGTCTGCTTCTTTTTTAGATTTGACCTTCATTGTCCCACAAAAAAAAAAAAAAAAAAAAAAGATGAATCTGAACACTCTGTCACACTAAAAAAGATCTTCTATCTATCAAAGCTGGAAGAATAATAGAAGGATGACATGGCCAACTGACCTACAAACCAACTCCATGGAACTAAGAAAGATACATAAGATCTCATTTTGCCTTGCAAAGAAAGATGAATGGACTTAACTGATGAATAATGAACATCGAAACCTAATCCTTTGGTCCCATAAAATGTACACAAGTCCTGGGAAAAAGCAAAAGGAGCAAATAACAAAAAATAAAGGAAAAGAGAAGGTCCCCTCTTTGAAAAAGATTGAAGGCCATGAAATGGTTTTGATTTTATGCCAAAGAAGAACATGCATGGCTGAGGTAATGATGGTATTCAAGATCTAAAGCTTTGCTTAATAAAGTTATTGATCTCTCTAATAATTAATGATCAAGACAAGTTTCAATTTATATTTTATGAACTAAAGGTCTTTTCCACCATTGAGTGAGAATTCTTTATGAAAAGAATACAACAACAACATCAAGCTTTTATCCCACTACGTGGGGTCGGCTACATGAATCCTTTTTCTCCATTGTGTCCTATTAAAAGTCAAATTCTCGTTTAAATCTAATAAAGAAAGGTCATTCCTAATATTTTCTAACCAAGTCTTTTTAGGTCTACCCCTACATTTCTTAACATAAGCCAAATCTAATACCTCTACTCTCCTAACTGGGTCATCGCAAGGCCGCCGTTTTATGTGACCAAACCATCTAAGGCGACTTTCTCTAATCTTATCTTCTACTGGAGCTACTCCAACCTTTTCACGTATATGCTCATTTCATATCCTATCTCTAAGGGTAAATCCACTCATCCACCTGAGCATCCTCATCTCTGCCACACTTAACTTAGTATTATGTTTCTCTTTTAAAGGCCAACATTCGGCACCATAAAGCATTGCAGGCCTCACTACCATCTTATAGAATTTTCCCTTAAGAGTGATGAAATTAATATATTAATCCCGCGCCATCTCATTGTTATGGTAGCCATTGATTACTCGTTCAAGCTATATGGTTGTTCCTGATCTTCTACATAGACTTAGGCTTCGTCTGGGATGGCTTAATTATTTTTTAGTGTAATAAAAAACTGCTTTAAGAAGCAGTAAAAAAGCTATCCCAAAAGAAGCCTTAAAGGATTCTAATTTATTTTTCTCTGTTACTTAATATATGATGATATAACACTCAATCATAAAATCAAAATCATCATTTCTCTTTGGCATAATTAAGATTTCATTTGAGACGACTTTCTTTCTGTTTCTTAAAACAACTTAATTTCTAGTAAAAAAATTAATATTTTGATACTAAAAAGCTGCTTTAAGAAGCAGTAAGAAAGCATCACAAACGAAGCCTAAGATTATATCGATTTTAAAGTTGCTTCGATCGTCAATCATATATATACAAAATTTTCTCAATGACTAATTTGATTGTATTAGAAGATAATCTTAATTTTTAATGTCCAAGGTCTTCCAAAATCATGTAAAATTATATACATCAGCCCTTGATAATCTTTATACTTTATTTGATAATTTTGGACAGTGTAGTTTGTGGGTAAAATGATTGATGAATAGTCAAGTAATTATGAATATTGATAAAACTCAATGCATAATTACTTTTCATATAATAATTAGGTCACCAGCAACCAATGAATTTGAGATATATGAAAATTGGTAGGTGCCAAAATAAAATTGTGATGGATTTTTTTTTTTTAATACAAAAAAAATCACATGACTTTCACATTAGTAAATTCATTAAAGCGAAGCAATATGAATAATTGTAAATATAAAGTAGTTTTCTAGTACAAAGTTTTCTAATTCAAATTTTTTTTGTACTGAAAGTTGTTTTAGAAAACAGTAAGAAAGTTATCCCAAATAAAATCTCAATCTCCATCAATCTTTATCATCAACCTTCCACCAAGAATAACTAATAATCTCTTAGCCAATTAAAGCTCAGTTTGGAACCCAAAGTAACAGTAATGAAATGAAACGCTGCCCCATCTAAGTTCTTCTTTAATCATTATTTGTTTGCTGAAATCAAAATAGAGAGAAGAACCCTTTCATTCCCACAAGACCCATATTCATAGAAATTTTTTGGCTAAGATAATTTTAAATTTTTATCAAAATAAGTCTCAAAATTTTTGAATTTATTTTATAACAAATATAATATATATTATTTTGATTAATTTCTCATATATTATACTCATCTTAAAATAAATTTAATAATAATTTTAAGATTTACCATGATCAAAATTCAATCTGGATGTCCTGCCCTAATTTTTTTTTCACATCCTTAATATAATATAAGGCAGACAGTAGTTGCACGTGTGATGTAATCATGTGAGGCACCATCCCTTCATCTTTAATGCAATCATTCATCCCATCTAATATATATATATATATATACTTTGTATCATTTATTTCATATATAGATTCAAGTCCAAGCACAAATGATGCGGTGCATCATATCTAAAGTGGGCCTTAGGAAAATTTTACCTATATTTGTACTTATGTTCTAGAGTGTTCTAGTTAGTTCTATTAGTATCTTATATATAATATTGTAAGCAGTAGAAAGAGCAATAAAAATAAATATATTTTTGAGATTTTAGCAGTTTTTCGATGATCTCCCTACATCAACAACACCATTAAAAATATTGAACTTGAGTAATCAAAAAGAAAAAAAAAAACTAACCTATGGCTAAAGAGTGGGCATTGAATTTTAAGGAAAGTCTTGGTTAAAGCACAATACTGATGGCAGAGACAAAATCGAACGGTTCTTTCCATCTAATATCTTAACAAAATAAAAAATTCTTATAATGGGCCTAGAGAATATTGCCGATCTAGTATCTTTTTTGGTGTGCTGGAAGTCTTATGGTCTTCGTTCTTAAAGTTGTTGCTGCTGGGATTCCTGCAAGCTGTTTTTGCGGCGCCTGTAAATTTTGTCGCTCTTGCAGGTAGCCTGAATGAGATTTTTGAAAGGACAATGATGAATGCTGATCTTTCAGCTACTCCTTGGATGATCAATTTGGCAACCAGGGGTTCTTCGTTCTGGCCAGACCCGCTCGAGAAACAGTCCAATCGTAAATCCAGAACGTCCTGAGTCCTTTAGGCTTATGCCTTTGTTTTCTTTTTGGTCTTGTATTTTGCTTCTTTTAGAACTCCTAATCTCTGTATTTTTAGATTAGGAGTTATAGTTTCTGCTTTTTACTTGTAATCTTTTTCATATATGAAAGGGCCCTGCCCCAATATTTCCCAAAAAAAAAAAACAATCTTCCCTCTTTTTCCGCAATCAATACATTTAACTTTATCTTTCTGACATCATTCTTAGCTTGCCTTTTTCTTTCAGATTCATTTCTGAAGCAATCTCAAGACTATATATGGCTAAACGAACCAGATCAAGCTCCTGCAACATCAGCTACAGTTGTCATACAGATGAGCCTTCTCCCCTGTATGGTGGGATCCAGCCCTGAATCATCTTATAGGCTCGTGATCCAATGGTGGAAAAGCCACGGTAGGCCAGCCCGCTCGTGTTCAGAGAAGGCTAGTAGGCTACAGAAGAGAAGAGAGCAAAGCGAGGAGAACTGTCTTTATAATCTCAACACTTTCCTCTCAAACCAGAATAGAAAATAATTCAGAAAAGATAGAAGAAGGTGAAACGAAGAAGAAATGGCCGCCGAGAAGCTTGAGACCGTTATCGCTGGAAACTATGTCGAGATGGAGATAGAGACAGAGGAGCAATATACCAAGAACTCAAAGAACAAGCTTTCTAAGTATCTATGGCATGGTGGCTCTGTTTATGATGCATGGTTCAGCTGTGCTTCTAATCAGGTATTATCATTGCTAACAACTGAGTTTATAACTAATTACTCTGTTAATCTTCACTTGTTAACCTTTTTAATGTATTTTGATTTTTTTGGGTGCTCAATTAATTAATTTATAGGTGGCTCAAGTGCTTCTTACATTGCCATATTCATTCTCTCAATTGGGGATGGCTTCAGGAATCATTTTTCAGCTGTTCTATGGGTTGATGGGAAGTTGGACTGCTTATCTTATTAGTGTGCTGTATGTGGAGTACAGGACTAGGAAGGAGAGGGAGAAGGTGGACTTCAGGAATCATGTTATTCAGGTCTGTTCCATTCTAAGCTTTTAAAAAGAAATTTTGATTTTATTTCAATCAAGCAATAGAGTTTTAGCCTTCGTTTGAGACGGTTTTCTTATTGCTTCTTAAAGCAATTTTTTAGTACTAAAAAATTACTTTAAGAAGCAGTAAGAAAGCCATCCCAAATGAAGCCTTAGTATAATATTTTAATAGTCTCTACAGTTTTGCTATACAATTTGTATGTACAATATCTATTATTTCTTTGAACAATATTTGATAAAAGGCTATTATATTTCCACAAATCTTCAAAATTTCAATCAAATATGGATATATTCAATGAAGTTTAATTAAAATCTGCAAATCAAACTTCTTCTTCCTCAGTGGTTTGAGGTCCTTGATGGGCTACTTGGGAAACACTGGAGAAACATTGGCCTCTTCTTCAACTGCACTTTCCTCCTGTTTGGCTCAGTGATTCAGCTAATTGCATGTGCTAGGTATTACTGTACACAGATAGATCTTTTGCAGAATAATTATCATATCTTTTCTTTTTAAATGATTTAAAAATTTTTTTGCAGCAATATTTATTATATAAATGATAATCTCGACAAGAGAACATGGACATACATATTTGGTGCCTGCTGTGCTACAACTGTATTCATCCCATCTTTCCACAACTACAGGATATGGTCTTTCCTTGGCCTTCTTATGACCACTTACACTGCATGGTATCTCACTATTGCTTCCTTAACCCATGGACAGGTACTTCAAAATTATCAATATTAAGGTTTTGTTTGGGACGGCTTTCTTATTGCTTTCTAAAGTAGCTTTCTAGCACAAACGAAACCTGAGAAAGCCATCTCAAAACGATAAGAAAGCTGTCCCAAACAAAGCCTAAGAATGAATGAATGAATGAATTTCTAAGTCTTTTTTTTCACCTAATTTAAGGTGAAAGATGTGAAACATTCAGGCCCAACAAAGATGGTTCTATACTTCACAGGAGCTACAAATATTTTATACACATTTGGTGGCCACGCAGTTACTGTGGAGATAATGCATTCAATGTGGAAACCACAAAAGTTTAAGCTCATATACTTAATGGCAACTCTCTATGTACTTACTCTAACGCTCCCATCGGCCTCTGCTGTCTACTGGGCCTTTGGTGACTTCCTTCTTGATCATGCCAATGCCTTCTCTTTGCTCCCCAGAACAAGATTTCGGGACAGCGCCATTATTCTCATGCTCATTCACCAGGCAAAGCTCTGTTCTCTGATTTCTTCATTGCAAATTTGAGTTAGTTTTTGATAGTAGAAAGCTGCTTTAAAAAATAGTAAGAAACTCGTCTCAAACGAAGCCTTAATTGATCTTATATTTGCTCTGATGCAGTTCATAACCTTTGGATTTGCATGCACTCCATTATATTTTGTGTGGGAGAAGCTTATAGGAATGCACGAGACAAAGAGCTTGATGAAGAGAGCGCTGGCGAGGCTGATTGTGGTGATCCCAATCTGGTTCTTAGCTATCATTTTTCCCTTCTTCGGTCCCATCAACTCTACTGTTGGATCCTTGCTTGTTAGCTTTACTGTTTACATAATTCCTGCACTTGCTCACATTATAACCTTTGCACCGGCTGCAGCAAGAGAGGTATTACAAAAAAAAATATATATATTTCAAGCCATGCTAAGATTAAGTAGAGAAATCAGCACATAAAGTCCCATTCTAAGATCTGATGACAACACGCCAAAATTTTGATTTCCACTCTCAAGTAGGAGAAATTATTTTGTGTGGACACCAAACATTGTCTGGAGAACAACCAGAATAAGATATGTTAGTACCCAGCTCGATACTGCGGCTCGGTATCACTTGGTACCGCGCTCAGTATTGCTGATGTGGCTCATTTTGGTTGGTCTTCGAATTTAGAGTTGCATTCGGTGTCCACACAGAACAATTTCTCCTCAAGTAGAGAGTCATTCTGATTTGCAGGGCAATAGATAATTACGATGTTGTTTGGAACAGTTTTTATACTGTTTTTTAAAGTAAATTTTTAGTATAAAATTTTAATAAACTAAAAAATTATATTTTAATAAAAAGCAACCAAAAAAAACTGTCGTAAACCAAATCTAAATTATTTTAAGCATTTGAAAAATGAAAATTATTTTTTCTGCAGTACAGAAAATTTTCATGAAATTAGAAAAGAAAAACATAAGTGTAATCTCACAAAAATATCTAATTATTGTTACTAATCAAATTTTAAAATGTGTGACTAAAAATATTATCATCATATTTTTATACAATAATGAAAAAAAATGTCTGTTTTGCTACATCAAAAAATTTAACTTAGGCTTCGTTTGGGACGGCTTTTTTATTCGCCTCAAACAAATCCTTTTTTTTTTTAAGATAAATATAAAAAAATTAAAAATTAATTAAAATTTATATTATATTTATCTCAAAAATGAATTCAAAGGCTTCAAAATCTTTCTTAAAAAATTGTGATTAACACACTTATTTATTCTAATTGTATTTTTGGTGATTTCAGAATGCAGTGGAGAGGCCCCCATCTTTCATGGGAGGGTGGGCAGGGATTTACTCTATGAATTGCTTTGTGGTGATGTGGGTGTTGGTCGTTGGGTTTGGATTTGGTGGGTGGGCAAGCATGCTTAATTTTATACAGCAAGTCGACTCTTTTGGCCTCTTCACTAAGTGTTATCAGTGCCCACACAAAGCTTAATTTGGCCTATTTATTTCTTTTGACTACATAGTCTACATATGGAAGTGTGCAGTGTGAAGGATATTGTGTTTCTATGGTGAATCTATCCTTTGATTTTTCAGAAGTTTGTTTTCATGGAAGAGATTTGCTTTTATGCCTATTGAAATTAGTGTAACATACTAATTTTTTTAGAAATAAGTGTCTATGATTATATATTGATATAACTTATTGCGTAAACTATGCTTCTAATAAATCAGATTTTAACAGTACTTTGTAAAACCTATTGCAGCGGTTTAGAAACCGCTATAAATCCGTTGTATTTATGTTCGCTGGAAAGACTTTAACAGCTGTTTTATGAGTGTTGTTGTAGGAAACTTTAGAAGCGTTTTTTACGTGTTAAAACTGCTGCTAAAGAGTATAATAGATTAAAAATAATATATATAATGTCCAAAAATCTCTGCAATATACTGCTACTAAAACATTAACATTTTGATATATATAGTGATGATTAGGTTAGTTAAACTAGAAATGGTCAAAGACTATCATTTGATTTAAATGAGAATTTAATTCTTAAGAGTATAGAATTGAGAAAAAAGATTCATGTAGATGAACCCACATAATGAGATAAAAGCTTTGTGCTGTTGTTGTTGTTATAGTCCATTTTATGTGAAAAGTTTATTATAAGTAAGGAAATATAATGTTCTTATATTTTTTAAATTTTTGTAGGAAAAAAAAGAGATCGTTTTTTATTACTTTCAACAAAATAAATAATAGAATCTAGCAAATTTCATTAATTTTTAAAATATATTTGCTATCAATAAGCAGGTAAATGGGCTCTAAGGGACATCTGGTATTTTGTAAGGGGTTATTTGAATGTTTGTTGATAAAAATTAAGCTTAAGAAAATTATGAAATTTTTTTAATTCCATCTGGGATTAGATAAGCTAAAAAATAAATATGAATTTTCATAACAACATGAACAAAAATGAAATCAACATTTTCTAAAATATATATATTATTTGAAAACCAATGAAAAAGGCCTGCAATATAAATTATGTTTTACACTGTAAAATGGCCATTTAATTTTGTTTAATTTTTTTTCAACTCAAATGAGGATTAAAAGCAAATTAACGGAACTAATTCAAGCCATGATTTTGGCTCTCATTCTAAGATGCATCAATTGGACAGATAATCAATTTCTCTTCTATTTTATTTGGGACAACTTTTTTATTATTTTATAAAATTATTATTATTATTTTTGGAACGTGTGTATCTAACACTACTGTTGTCAGGTCCCAAGTTCTGGATGAGAAAAGTGAAGGGTTGCGTTAGTGAGTTGATAGCCAGCGTAAAACTTATCGAATAATAATGAGATGAATCCTTTATGACGAAAATGAATTCATGTAGCTAACCTCACGTAGTGAGACAAAGGCTTGATGTTGTTGTTGGAACGGGGGTATCTACCCTTGCCACCCCCCTTAGGAATTTTTTTTCAACTCAAATGAGGATTAAAAGCAAATTAACGGAACTAATTCAAGCCATGATTTTGGCTCTCATTCTAAGATGCATCAATTGGACAGATAATCAATTTCTCTTCTATTTTATTTGGGACAACTTTTTTATTATTTTATAAAATTATTATTATTATTTTTTGGAACGTGGGTATCTAACAATGTTGTTGTCAGGTCTCAAGTCCTGGATGAGAAAAGTGGAGGGTTACGTTAGTGAGTTGATAGCCAGCATAAAACTTGTCGAATAATCATGAGATCGATGAATCCTTTATGACGAAAATGAATTCATGTAGCTAACCCCAAGTAGTGGGACAAATGCTTGATGTTGTTGTTGTTGTTGTTGAAACGGTGGTATTTACCCTTGCCACCTCGATCCATTAGGAGGCGCTTGGTGGCCTAACTAATCCCTCGGCCAGCCTACTAGCAACCGTCCCACAAATGCAGGACCTGAGGTTATTTTCTTCTCACTCAAGAGTTTGCACCGCATGAGAGGGGATTTGAACATATGTTGAGGGCTTCCCAATCATGCTCGCCCACCAATCCAACTAAAGGCGGTGGAGATATAAAATTACTATAAAAAATTTTTTTCCTAACTGCTGTAAAAAATAACTTTTTATACAAATTTTTTTAAAGCAATAAAATAATAGCGCTAAAATAAATTGTTATTGAGATCTGAAAAATAAAACGATAAAAAAATTGACACAAACCAAGCCTTAATTTACTGTATCATAATTGATTGAGAAAACTTTTTTCTTTATTTCCCATCCGACCTTTTGAAAAATAACTACATAAAAATGGGCAAAATTACAGCCTTGTAGTTGCAATACATCTAAAGCATGCTAATGCCAAGAAATTGCTATGTTGTCGCATTATATGCCAAATATAATATTTTATTACCGTCAAACCAAAAATAGGTTGCCCTAAGATTAGCGCAGTTATATGGATCCATCATCCACGTGAAGCTTCATAGGGAACCCATATGATAGCGACCGGAACTCAGATTCAAAAACAAAGCCAAAAGGGTCAGTCCAAACCAAACCCATGATATTAGCTCTGTAGCATGTGACTTTGCCATCAGAGCTTCAGAGCAGCTTCTTATCCTTATGCTTTTGGCTTTTGGGCTGCTGCTAAATTTCAATTGGGATCTTAAGCTTTATTTTATAATAATGAGCTATGAATATGCTATATAACTTAGTCCAAAATGGAATCATTTTTATTCTTAAAAAGAAGTAAAAAAGAAATGCATACAAGCGGTTTTCAAAGGAAATTTTAATATAAATTGAAAAGCTGATGTAATATATATCTATGTTTCAGGCTCCACTCAACCTCAAAGATCTCCATTCATCCAACAACAAGTAGGGGTGCCAAAAATTGACACAACCCGAAACAAAACCCAAATCCGACACAAAAAAATTAGGATTTGGGTCAACCTGCTTGTGAAATGGGTCGGGTCCGGGTTCAGATATACGACCTGTTTGAAAAACGGGTCAGGTTCGGATTGACCCGAAAACCCGCAGGTCGACCCGAATTGTCACTGATGTCGCGTCACAGTCGCGTCTCGCTTCACCAAGCACGTCAATCGACCGGGTCAATCACGCCAATCACGCCAATCAATCAACCTCACTTATATGCAATATTGAGAAAGTGATTACAAGATGAAGAAAGAAAGAAAGAAAAATGAAAGAAATCACTACAAAAATAAGCCTCACACTTGCATCGGAGGAAAGGGATTTTTGTGCATCCAAAAGATAATTTTATTAACCTTCCCATGTTTCCTTTCCATGCCTTATAACCTTATTAACAACCATCAAGTAGAAACATAATAAAACCTCAAAAATTGGTGTTAAGGCCTAAATCAAATACATAATACACTATAAACTAACTTGCTCTTAGAAGTGCGATAACATCTCAGTTATTACTTTAGGTAGTATTAACCATGCTAGACTATCAATGAATACTTAACTATTATTAATGCCACCACATTCTTAGCATCAGCTACCAGAAGAAGCGTGTCAAAACATGGTGTCCTAATCAGTCTGGAATATCAATGCATTAATCCCCAAAGGCTAAATTTTTCACCAATAACACAAAGTCGAAATTTAGTATTGAAAAATCTCTCATTATTTGACCACGGCCGTGCTATCAGGATTTTGGCCATCACAACGCCACGACGAATTAATTGGAAGAACTGAAATTATTAAGGCTAAGGCCTAAAACAAAATATGAAGGGATTTGTTGGATCTTGAATGAGGAAGAAGCTCTTCCTCTTGAGCCTGTTCGGAGTGGGAGAGAGCTGAAAAAAAAAAATTAATCTTTATTGTTTGGCCATAAACTCACAGATCTTAGGTCTTTGTTATTAATCTAGAGAGCCAGATCCTCATGCTATTAAAATATCCTGAGTTAATGCTCATTCAATAAAAAATAATTAAGCACCCTCAACTATTAGTTCTGAGGCAAATTTCTAAAATGAAGCAACATATGGTTGCTAAGAATAAAGTTTTCACATCACAATCAATCAAGGCTCTAACAACCGGAGATTGATTATCAGATAAAAAAGAAATATGAGATTTTCATAATGATGAGGACATCGTCAGAGGTTTCGACACGTGTACCAGTCAATACTTACATAGCTCAAGTAGACCCAAATGTCTCAACCAACTACACTCTCAAAAAACTCATTTATTGGTTGCCTACATTGGCACAACTTGGTTCTAAAAAAAAAGATTGTAATTCTATCATAATTAGATCACAAGCATATTTTTAAAGATATAAATTCTAATTCTTCCTTTCTTTCTTCCATATACTTAAATAAAAAGGGGCTTGTGAATTAAAAAAAAATGAAAAAGAGATAGAAACTCTTGATTTCATTACCTTTCCCTTCAAATAAAGAAGAGCAAGACAGACGAACTTTAAATTTTAAATAAATCTTACTCTTTTACATTGTGATTTTGGCTTGGTTTAGGACATTTTTTTAATGTTTTGTACACTAATTTTTTTGCACAAAATTTTTTTGAAAGTAGCAAAAAAAGTAAGGATCAAAAGCTATCTCAAATGAAGCCTTTATAAAAATTAAATATCCTCCATAAATTTACAAATAAACATCAGAACCTTCATTTTTCTGATTTATACCAGTATTAAAAAAGAACGTGAGATTTCAAAAAGAAATCCAATTATTCCATTTTTTTTTCTAACTTTTAATTTAAAATATGTTAGCCCTTATTCAAATGAAGAGCAGCAAAAAATACAACATCTCGAGCCCAATTTGTGCCACCATATTTTGATTAAAAAAATGTTCAAGATGAGTTTAAAAATATTTAAATTACTTTAAGATTAATGCAATATGAATTATTCATGTATTACATTTATTTAAAAACATATTAAAAAATCTAAAAAAAAATAATTAGAATCTACTAACATAACTTTTTCCCTTAAAAAATCCATTAATGTTTCATATTATAAATTTGATCTCCACCATAAATTTAAAAATCCTAAAAATTTGAGAAATTATGTCTAAAAGTTTATCCTGGATCAAGTTATCCCACTTTTATACTTATAGACTAATTAATGAAGCTTGTCCTAAGAAAAAAGATCCGAATTGGATCAAATTCCAACCTTAATATGAATCTTAATTCAAGCGAGACAAAAACATGTTTGAATCAAATTTGAATCTAGGTGAACGAAGCTTGTTGAAGTCGTTCATGATCACATCTCATCTTGATCTGTTGGTTGGGAACTTAAGTTTCCAACTAAGAGGTTTTGAGCTCGAGTCTTGAATATGTGTTGTGTGTGTGCGCGCTTTAATTGGCCTAAATGTCCCCAAAAATAGATTAATCACGATGTAGGATTTCACAGTAGGAGTTAGCTAGGAGCTCCCGGAAAGGAGCATATGGAATTGGCGAAGCTAAGGGGTAGCTTCTGATTTTAAAAAATAAAAACCTTACTCTTAAAAAAAAAAACAAGAGACACAAGCCTTTAATTTCAAAAATCTTGATTCTTCAAATAAGGAAAAAAAAAAAAGATGCAAATTTTAATTTTAAAAATAATTCTAATATTTCATATTCCATGCAATTTTGAATTTTCACTGGTAAACAATTGGGATAGTGTGACCAAATTTTTAGTTAAGATTTGCATTAAAGTATTTTGATCTATTTTTATTTTACTACAATATAAATTATTTATATATTACCCTCATTTCAATTCAAGGAGTTTTAAAGTTTTTTCCTGATGCACAATATAATAGAAGTTGGATTGAGATAGGCATTTTTTTGTGCGCATTGTTATAATTTCTTATTTTCTTTGTCCATTTCAACCCTTAAACAAAATGGTTCACAATATTCAAATATAATTTTATTGAAAAATTAGGATTTTTTTCCTTGTAATGTTCGAAATTGAAGAATTACACATTTCATTTCATTTTTTTTATTAAAATATAATTTAATCATCTACTCTAACTCTTTTAGCATGTACATATAATAATACAGTACCGGCACATTATGCTCTTGAAGTTTTTTTTTTTTTTTTTGAACTTTTGTGCTATTTAAAAACAATTTCACATATACATAGCACACATATATATACTTCGAACTCAAAATCTCAACTAAAGCTTCCAATTGGCTATGCTCTTGAAGTGCCGTGTCAAATTCAATAATTCTAGTTCTTTCGTGTTCTAAGGGAATTATATTTTAAAAATACATTTCTATTATATTTAGTTTAACTTCAGCCATGTATTCTATAAAATTAGGATAGAATGAATGAACGGATATAAGGTTCTTTCCTAGGACGAGAAAACAATCGCCCAGAAAGAAGATCGAACAGCTGAGCCATGGCCGACAAAGCCTCCGTTTCATTGCCACTGCAAGAGAGAATTCCTGCAAAAAACAAATTAAAAAGGCTCTCCGAACTCCTCATACTGTCTCTTCTCCTCTCTCTCCTCTCTTACCGACTCTCCTCCCTCTCATCAAACCGAAGCTTGGTCTGTCTCCTAGCCTTGTTCTGCGAAGCCTGGTTCACTTTCGTCTGGCTTCTCAACGTCAACGTCAAATGGAGTCCGGCGATCTACAAAACAAACCCCGATCATCTCCTCAACAAGTAAGCAAATATTCTCAGACCATTATTAACTCTACTGTGAGAAGTTTAAACTATATACTTAAACACAAAGTAAGCAATTAAAATTTGACAAGCGGAATGCACTTTGGTTACACGTTTTTGTACGGTTTATTTGTACTTTACGTGCGTTTTGACTACTCTTTTGTTGCGTTTTTTTACTGAGCTTTATCTGAGCATTGGCTGTGCTTTTGATGTATTTGACTTAATGTTCTGTGGGCACATTAAATATATAAAGTAAAAAATAAATACAATTGAATATCAAATAATTTCTCAGAAAATCATCAGCAAAAAAAAAAATTGTCTAATTTGGATATACAGATTTAATATTGATGAGCTTCCAGCCATAGACATATTCGTTACAACAGCTGACTCTGAGCTAGAGCCACCGATCATCACAGTGAACACAGTACTTTCGTTGCTGGCCGTTGATTACCCAGCAAACCGTCTAGCCTGTTATGTATCGGACGACGGCGGTTCGCCGAAGACTTACTTCTCACTCATACAGGCTTCAAAGTTCGCAAACCGTTGGATTCCTTTCTGCAGAAAATACAACGTCAAAGTTCGTGCTCCATTCATGTATTTCTCTCAGGAGCCTGACCAGTCATTAAATGGCCTATCTTTGGATTTCCTGAGAGATTGGAAGGAGATTAAGGTAAATCTTAATTAATTCTTTTTTTAAAGAATTAGTATATTCTGAATGAAAATAGATATTTACATATATACCATAAAATTCTTATCTGTTTTTCTTATTTAACCTCTGAACTTTTTTAATTTACGTACATAATACTTAAATCTCAACATATATAAAAAATATTACTAATATTAATTTATTTAAATTAATGCATATATTTTAATATGATCTACATACTAAATTAGTATATATAATTGTAAATAAACAATTTGTTAATTATTGTAGAACGAGTATGAAGAGCTTAGACAAACGATAGAAGACATGGGGAAAAGTCATTTGCCACCTCTCCAAGGAGATGATTTTGTTGAGTTCTCTAACATTGAGAGAGGAAACCATCAAAGCATTGTGAAGGTACTTAAATAAAATTTCTATTATATTTCTAATACAAAAATTTTTTGAATTAAAATTTTTTATATTAGAAAGCCGTTTTAAGAAGCAATATGAAAACTATATCAAATGAAGCCGCTTCATTTGGGACGACTTTCTTATTGCTTCTTAAAACAACTTTTTAGTATTAAAATTTTAATTTTTGAACTAAAAAACTGCTTTCAGATGCAGTAAAAAAATCATCCCAAATGAAACCTAGCTCATACAATTTTAAATAAGTGATTATTAAAGCCATAGACAAAGGGCGACTTGATAAACATTGAAAAGTCCGTGTTTGATATTTAATTAATGAAAATGGAAAGAGAAAGTTTATCATTAATTTATTATTATTATTATTAACTATTATTTTGTAGGTATTATGGGAGAACAAAGACGGCAAAGATGGTATCCCTCATTTGATATATGTATCTAGAGAAAAGAGGCCAAAACATCCACATCACTTCAAAGCTGGAGCCTTGAACGTTTTGGTAAGGACAAAATATTCACTAAAAAAACTGATTGTTAATGGGGCCATTCAATTATTTCTTCTAGCAGGCTCCGCCCGGCCCCTGCAAAGGCAAGATTGGATTAGGGATTCAAAAAATATTTAAATTCATAATTAATTACTGCTCATCATAACAAAATTAAAATTTCAATTTTAAAAGCTTAATTAAAATGAAAAATATCTGTTTCAAATATTTTCTACTTATGTTTCTTTTTTATTAATAATATGGCAAAGCCCAAAAATTCCACCAAAAAAAATTAAGAAACCGTTAGTTTTAAAAGCTTAATTAAGACTGAGCAGTAATCAATTTAAATACTAAATTAAAACCGAAAAAATGATGAATTAATTTAGAATAATTTTGATAATCAATATTACTTGATTTAAATAAATAACTAATAATAGAATTAAGAGTTAAATTTCACATTTAAATCTAATAAAGAAAGTTATTTCTAATACTTTCTAACCAAGTCATTTTTAAGTCTTAAAAATGACTTGGTTAGAAAGTTATTTCTAATACTTTCTAACCAAGAAATACTTTCTAACCAAGTCATTTTTAAGTCTTAAAAATGACTTGGTTAGAAAGTATTAGAAATAACTTTCTTTATTAGATTTAAATGTGAAATTTAACTCTTAATATGACACAATATAGAAAAAAGATTTATATAGTCAACCCCACTTAGTGAGATAAATGCTTGATGTTGTTCTTCCTGTAATCAAGATATAAGTTTTATTGATAATCATGAGCCAATGTTATTAGAGGAAAGGGGTGTCAATTTCGGGTCACGGGTTGGGTTCGGGTCGGACCCGGAACTGACCCGGGTTCAAACGGGTCGACCCTAACCCGACCCGGTTAGGCAAACGGGTCTAAAATTTGAACCCGAACCCGACCTGGAACGCGTGACCCGAATCGCCGCAGCGAGGGAGCCGGCAGCAGCGCATCGCGCTGAGCGGGCGGAGCGCTGGCAGCGCGGGCAGAGCGGGCAGCAGCGCGCGAGCGCGGAGCGCCGACGCGGTCGGGGTGCGAGCGTGGACGCGTCGGGCTCGAGCGTGACGCTGGCTGGCTCGGACTCGGACTGCGTGTTTCGGGTCAAACGGGTTGACCCGGCAACCCGTCGTGTCAACCTGAACCCGACTCGTTTTCAAACGGGTGACGATTTCTGGAACCCAACCGACCCGTTTTGAAATGCGGTCGGTCCAACCCGAATTTTTCGGGTCCGGGTCCGGGTCGATTTTCGTATCGTGTCAAATATTGACACCCACTTCAATCTAATACAATATATATGATTATAAGTGGTATAATTATTCACATTTTGAACAATTTAAGAAATCTTATTAGTTGAATAAAGCAAATATTGTATTGAACATCTAATTGTGTTGATGTTGCATGCAGACAAGAGTCTCAGCATTGATGACGATTGCTCCATTTTTTCTAAATGTGGATTGTGACATGTTCGCTAATAATCACCAAGTAATACTCCATGGAATCTGCCTTCTACTCGGCTTTGATGAAGAGAGGTCCTGTGGCTATGCTCAAACCCCTCAAATGTTTTATGGAGTCTTAAGAATGATCCCTTGGAATCAGTTGGAGGTCTTCCAAAAGGTTTTATATTTTTCTTCTGCTTAAAATTAATGAAAATATCAACTTAACTTTTTCTTATCCTCCAATATACCACATATTAGTAAGATTTTGCTTAATTTGATTTGTAAATCATTAATTAATCCATTTCATTTTAGTTTATGGCAGAAGGGATCGCTGGGATTCAGGTCCTTATAATGGAGGAAGTGGATCCTTTCACAGGAGAAAAGTTATTTATGGTTCTTCGCCCTTCGATCAAATACAACAATGCGTACTACATAAAACTGTAAGTGGTAGTATAATTATATATATATAGGGCATCTTCAACCAACGTCATTCGCCAGTTGTGGGCTCTTACAAATGGAACACACATTTTTTTGTGACTGGAATAGTGCTACCCCGATATTTTAGTCCACTATTTACATGCCTACTTTTTATTTATAAATTGATATAATAAAAATAGTGAAGAAAACTGCAATATACACATAATACTTTTTCGTTATGTTAGAAATTGAAGTTAGGTTGGAAATGAATTACTGTTTGATATGACTGTACAGTATTTGAAGTGAAAAATAGGCTTGTTTAGTGGAGATAACGATAGTGTTCAAAATATAGCATTGGAATGACAATATGTTCAATAACTATTTATTTATTTTAATTTTATGAATTCTTCTCCTAAGCTTGCATTTAATAATTTTTTTAAGGGAGATTTACATGCATATCACTTAATACTATTCTATTACATATTTAAACCTAAAACTTAAATATTACATACATACCACCCATAGTTATCATTATAAAATATGAGTGGTATAATGAAATATATGAGTGGTATATTTGATATTAAATAATATAGAGTGGTATGCATGTAATATTAAAGTTTTAGGTGTTAGATATGTAAATAGGATGTTATAAAGTGGTATGTATGTAATTTCCCTTTTTTTAAACAATATATGTACAGATGACACCCAATCAATTTTCTTATTTTAGACTTCATTTAGGACAGTTTTCTTATTGCTTCTTAAAACGTTTTTATATAAAAATTAAAATTTTTAATAAAAAACCCTCTTTAAGAAGAAATAAGAAATTCGTGCGAAATGAAGCCTTAATTATCTTTTTTTTTTTTCCTTATATTTTATTTTTTAAACATAATGTGCAGTTGGGCCTCTTCCAAAGAGTTAAGAAGTATATTGGAAACTCTAATGAGCTTATCGGCTCAACTAATGAGATAATTAAGAAAAGAAGCCAAGGGAGGATTTCGTTTCATCAACGAACTTTCAAGCAGGACAGAAATAGCCAAGCAAGTAGCGTCAATCCACCTTTTGAGCTAATACAAGGCTGGGGTAAAGAGGTAATTATATGGAAATAATTACTCGTGATTTTTTTCTTGTGACATCACATATAAAAATAATCATTTTTGTAAATTTTGGGTATAATAATCGTCCAGCTCTATATTTATACTGTTTTAGTATTTTTTGTCCTAAATTAAATTGATTAAATTTGTTACAGACGTTACAAACAAGGGAAATTTTACGTACATTATCACTTTATTTCATGCTATTTACATATTTAACACCCAAAATATTAATTTACATATCTACACTCATATACAACTTTAATATCAAATATATCACTCATATAATTCATTTCTACCATTCATACCATCCTATAAACTTTAATATTTCATTCCATGTACCTAGAGGTGTCAATTTCGGGTCACGGGTCGGGTTCGGGTCGAACCCGGAACTGACCTGGGTTCAATCGGGTCAACCCTAACCCGACCCAGATAGGGCAAACGGGTTGAAATCCTGGACCCGAACCCGACCCGCTTCGGGTTCGGGTCACACCCGACACGACCGCGCAATTCGCAATTCGTAGCATGAAGCGACTTCGCAATTCGCGAGCGTGACCCAGTGTGGCGGGCCGGCGGCAGCGGCGGGATGGCGGCAGCGGCGCGCGTTGCGACTTCGCACTTCGCAGCGTGACGCGATGCGGCGGGCAGCGGCAGTTCCGCGTGGGCAAGAAGGCAGCGGCAGCGGCGGGCAGACGCGAAGCGCGATGCGGTCGGCGAAGCGAACGCGCGTCAGGCTCGGTCCGCTTGGACTCCGCGCGGGCAGCTTCAGTCAGCCCGGGTCAGGGCTGGCAGCAGTCATTTCGGGTCATTTTCAGTTTCCGGGTCACCCAAATACGACCTGGTTTTTCAAATGGGTCGAAAACTCGAACCCGAACCAGACCCGGTACGGGTTCGGTTGACCCGAACCCGAAATTTTTGGGTCGGGTCCGAGTCGGGTTTTCGTGTTGTGTCAATATTGACAGCCCTACATGTACCCAAATTTGTTCTATGAATGGTATGCATGTATATTAAATATTTTAAGTATTATATATGTAAATAGTATGAAAAAAGTGGTATGTATGTAAATCCCCCAAATTAAAAACAAAATTAAAAATATGTGCGAATGTTTTGTGATTTAGAAATTATTAAGTGCGGAGGACTCCATGAATGAAGTCGGCCACTTCTTCAATGCACAAACTGTATATAGCGGGAAATTATTAGGTCTGACATTGACATAGATATTGGTCTGGATATTCAATTAAAATTGACACGTGGCCTGTGCTTTTGTTGTGCTTCTTGACTGCATTTTAACTTTGCTTTGATTGCGCTTTTAATGCACTTTAGCTGCACTTGCGTGCGCTTTACCTATGCTTTTGATACGTTTAGCTTAAAATTCCGTCAACACATATAAATTTTAAGTAAAAAATAAATTTATTGAGTATTCATATGTATACTCTATTTATTAATATTTATTGAGTTCGAAGGATCTAGCCTCCAGGCCTATAGCAACGTGTCCCTTTTTTTTTTGGGGGAAAATGAGGGCGGAAAGCCCGAATTTACTATGTAAAAAAGGATTACAAGTAAGGTATAATAAAAAGGCAAAACCTCAAACAAAAGAGGTCTTACCAAAACCTATACCCCCCATACAGAAACGAAATACAAAAAAAAAAAAAAAAAAACAACAGGTAAGAACCAGCCGCCAAACTGATGGTATTAAACCAAATTGGACTCAGACTGCTAATCAATTAAACCGTCCAAAAAACCATCCAAGCGACATGAAGAGTACTCTCCTGGTTGCCAAAAGGCCGTCCAAGGAGAGGATTAGCAGCTACATCATCGTCCATTCTTTTGCGCCTCCTAATCATCAATCCGGCAACGCCCCAGTGGTCCATCCGAGTAAAAGCTTGGATTACAAACAAAATTCCAGAACTGCTTGCAGGCATCCATACATGTCACAATCGAATTAACGTTCCAGGCAATGAGAATACAATCAAGAATACCAAAATGACATTTCCTCATAGCATCAGAATAAGCCATCAGCCAATATGTCGCAAACAGCAGGCAAAATTTCTCCGTCTCCAGCAAGGCATAGAAAAGATGCAGATTAAGGTTTCCAAGGGATTTCAGATTCTCTTTGTGCTTCCAGGTAGAGGATTTAGCCTCAACCGCATATTTGATAATATTGCAAAGAGTATTGACATCTCTAAACTTAAAGTTAAACCTTCGTTCATTTCTTTCCCTCCATAAAAAGTCAGCCACATGAGGAAGTAAGCAAAAGTAAATCCTTTTGATGTTTAATGGTAATAGCCTTATCCCCCAAATATTGAAGAACTTGGTACAGCCTAGGACGTAAAAGAACTCTCCCAGCTCAGGAATTAATTTACAGGATGACAGAATATGCATAGTCACACTCAAAAGAATGTGAGGATTGGTTTCATTGTGTGAAAAGCACAGCACACAGTTGGGGGGAACCAATATAGATCTCCTTCTTAGTTCATCCGCAGTTTTCAGCCCCCCGTTAAGAGCAGTCCAGGAAAAAATGGCATATTTAATGGCTGAATGTTTATGCCAAACATACTTATACCAATCAACAATTGCGTCATCTTTGTAAAAATACAGAAGGAAAGACGAAAAAGCAGGATTTTCCTATCTTTCCAGTAAATACATTCTTGCATCAGGATTAATCCCCAAAAGGTTCCAAGGCATTATTCAATCCCTCAATATTAGAAAACAGAGGATGCCAGCCATCCACATCCAGAAAATCAGAAACCTTTGCATAGTGACTGAAAATAACTTGCAGATTCAAATTCGGAAAAGCATGAACCAAGGCATTACCATGAAACCAAGGGTCCCATAGTAAAGAAATTACACATTGAGGCATAAATTCAAAGCAAATATCAGGTTTAATAATCAAAGCCACCTTGCCTATTTCATTCCAGAGAGGAGAAGGCCTGCTGATCGCCGGGGTCCAGGGTGTGGCATATTTAGCATTCAAGTAGTTGAAAAGAATGGATTTTGAATTGTAAAACCTGAAAATCAGTGAGCTCATGGTGGCAAATTGAAGACCGTTTAAATCAGGAATACCCAGCCCACCATATAATTTAGGTTTGCAGGTTCTCTTCCAGGCGATAAGATGAAGCTTTTTGGCCTCGGGATCCCCAAGACAAGAATTTGGCACATATTCTACTAAGTGTTTGATACAAGATTTTGGGGATGATGGACCCTCTTATCCAATAGGCAATTGTATTGCAAACCGTATATTTAAGGAATTGAAGCCTTCCCCCCATGGATAATAATCTGGCTTTCCACCCAGCCAGGTGATTTGCGATTAAATGCATAAGAGGAAGAAAGTCAGATTTAGAGCATTTCTTAACCGAAATAGGCAATCCAAGATAAGACATCTTGAAACAATAAGAGGGCATATGAAGAGCCTCACAAACAGCCCATGGAATTAGAAATATAGCTAGAAAATTATAATCTGACTCTTCTCATGGTTCACAAAAAGACCAGAGAACTTTAGCAAAGATGTCAAGAATCTTTCTAAGAGCTGCACAATTGTTAAGAGATGCTTCCCCAAAAATTAGGAGGTCGTCCGCATAAAGTAAGTGTGAAATGTTCACGCCATGTTTATGAACCCAATGAAGTTATCCTGATTAGCGTCATTATCAATCAAACAGGAAAATGCATCCATAGCAATGCAGAAGAGATAAGGGCTGAGAGGGCAGCCTTGCCTAATGCCAGAGGATGAGTTAAAATAGCCTTCCAACGCCCCATCTATGCATATAGAAAAATGGACATCTGTAATGCAAGCCTTGACCCAATGGATAAAAGAGGAAGGGAAGCCTTTTTGTTTCATTCTGGATAAAATAAAAGCCCTATAAACAGAATCAAAAGCCTTACGAATATCCAGCTTGGCACACATTAAATTGTTTTGGCAGACTTTTTGAACTCAGAGAGGATTTCAGTAGCTAGAAGGATATTATCAGTAGCAATGCGTTTCTTGATAAAGCCAGCTTGATGTTTCCAATGATAAAAAGGCATGATTTCCTTCATTCTAGAAGCTAGAATTTTGGAAATAATCTTGTAGAAAACATTGCAAAGAGCAATGGGTCTATAGTCAGAAATGTTGGAAGCATGAGTGGATTTGGGAATCAAAGCAATGGCAGTAGCTTTAGCCATCTTAGGAAGGTACCCCTTTGAGAAAAAAGACTTCACAGCTTTGCACACCAAAGGGCCCGTAATAAGCCAAGTGGATTTATAAAACTCAAAGTTAAATCCATCCGGGCCAGGAGAAGAGTTGGAGCTCCCAAGAAAAAATGCCTCCTTAATCTCATCATCAGAAACATTAACCGTCAGCAAATGAGATTAGCAACGTGGCCCTTTAACGTTGTCCTTTTCTATTGGAGTCGGGATTCCACACTTCATATTATCTGTATGTGATGATGCTTTGTAGTAGCAATAATGTCAACATTATGTATTTAAAATAATGCTATGGACGAAAAAAATGATTGCATCATAAGTTGTCATTTACTCAAATAATAAAAAAAATTCAACATGGTTTATACTTTTACTCTTCTTTGACATATAACTACAATTTTTTCCCGAATATTTAAAGCAATAAATAAAACAAAAAAATGCAGAAAATATTTCAAATTTTTTATATAAATAAATATCAAATATTTGATTCTTTTACTAAATGTTATTTTAATGAGAAAGTTGATATAATACGTCTTAATATATTACTTTTTATTATAAATGTTTCTAATTTTATTAAATATTATATCAATATATATATATATATATATCGTATATTGTTGGTACGTCGCCAAAAATCACCTTGATCGTGCAAGAATCTAAAGGCATATTCAAGTTGGAAACTTTCAAAATTAAATTTGGGATCATCTGAAATCAAATTTCAACAAACTTATAATCGAATTGAACGTCTCGAAGAGCCGAACTCAACGACATTAAAATCAGTCAAATCTGAACGTATAGATACATTTCACTCTCAAAAATCTATAAAAAAAACCCCTCTCAACATGAAGGGGCTGTGGAGCTTGGACTTTTGGCTAGAGATTGAAGAGAACTCTGAGGCTTCAAAAACTCCTGCACCATCGTTGGTGAACCTTCGTCGAATCACTGACGGACTTCCACCTAGCGGCCACTAACAACCGCCAGACTGCCGCCTGGCAGCCGACCTTCATAACATGTCAAATACGATCATTCTGACCTCCATTGCCTGTTGACTACGATCCCCCAACCACCTTCTTCCGTTAACTCCCTCCGACTACCTTCACTCGTCGACTACTGTCCCTCAGACCTTTGTCTCCCACCAACTACAATTCCTTTGACCTTTGTCACTTGCCGGCCACCGTCGGATTTTTACTCAATCATCGTCGGAATCCGTTCAGCAGCCGACCTTCTTCGTCTATCGACTATGATCTATCGGACCACTGTCACCCGCCAACAATGGTCCTTTCGATCACTGTCACCTGCCAAATACGACTCCTTTAACCACCATTACCTGCTAACCACGATCCCTAGCTCAGACCACTGTCGCCTACTGACAATGGTCTCTTTGATCACCATCGCATGTCGACTACGGTTCCTTTAATTACCATCATATGCTTACTACGATCCCTCCAACCTCTGTCACCAGTCAATTATGGTCCATCCGACCATCGTCGCCCACTGGCTACGATCCCTCCTACTAATGTCGTCCTACGACTACGGTCCCTTCGACCACTGTCACCCGACTACAGTCATTCTAGTCGAATGAACAGTCCCACACACTCTTGATAACAACTCTGATATCACTAGATTCTTCGAACTATCAACATTTAATGTGCATTATATGATGTATATTTAATACATCAAGCTAAGGCCTTCCACACATGGAAGGACCTCATTTACAATCAACAATAAATACTATTGAAATAAATTTAACTAAGCTAGACCCCATGTTTTTTTACCTTTTTAGGACCTCATATATATATATTATTTTTCATCTTTTTTTACAGGGCATGTATTGCAATTTCAAACTCATTGAGAACAATAATATCAGTGAAATTGTCTTTTTCACATATATGTATTATGTAACAGATAGGCTGTCTGTATGGTTCCATGACTGAAGACGTTTTAACTGGGCTTCGTATCCAATCTATGGGCTGGAAGTCGACCTTTTTTAATCCCAGCCCACCCGCATTTCTTGGATGTGCGCCAACAGGCGGACCCGCATCCCTTATGCAGTACAAGAGGTGGGCAACGGGCCTTCTTGAAGTTCTCTTCGACAAGGACCACAGCCCAGTTGTGGGGACTCTCACCAAGCAACTACACTTCCGCCAGTGTCTTTGTTATATAAAGATCAGTATTTGGGCTCTCCAATCCGTCCCAGAATTGCTTTACTCTCTTCTACCTTCTTGCTGTCTAATCACTGGAACCTCATTTCTGCCCAAGGTATGCAATTCATTATTATAAATAAGCAAATTTTCTTTGCATAATTTGCTTTGCATAGATACTTATTTGATTTGTAAAACATATATTTCCCCAATACATTATACATATAATATTTAGATTTACAATAGAAATTTATGATATTATTTACTATAAAATTTAGGACAAAATAACCAAATATAGAGACAAAATTGACACTTTTGAGGTATTAAGTGTAGCGAGTCATATGGTTTTAGGTCATCATATGGATTAATTATTTTGTGTGGACGTCAAACAACATTCGGAGAATAATCAGAATGCGCCATGTCACCTCGTCGCTCGGTACTATGGACCCGTACTACTGATATGACACTTTCTGATTTATCTCCGGATAATATTTTGTGTCTGATCTCCGCACATAATAAAAATATTGAATGTCTGGCATCAAATATAAGAGCCCAAAGGTCAGATCTTTTTGCCATTTGCAGGTATCGGAGGGACAGTTTCTGCTGGCAGCAATGTTGTTCGCCGGATACAATCTATACAGCCTTGAAGAATACAAGCAGTGCGGCAAGTCTTGGCGTGAATGGTGGAACAACCAACGCATGCAACGCATAACCGCCATAACCGCCTTCCTCTTCGGCTTCCTCTCCGTCGTCTTCAAACTCCTCGGCCTCTCCGAGACCATCTTCGAGGTCACCAGAAAGGACCAGGTACACATGCCCGCCCATGCCGAGCCGGGCCGGTTCACCTTCGACGGGTCACCCATGTTTATCACCGGGACGATGCTAGTGCTCGTGCAGATTACTGCGATAGGGGTGGCGTTGGTAAGCTGGGCGGGTGGAGCGGTCGGGCCGGAGACGAATGGTCCGGGGGTGGCGGAGATGGTGTGTAGTGGGTGGGTTTTGATCACCTTCTGGCCGTTTGTGAGGGGACTATTTGGAAAGGGAAGTTACGGTATTCCATGGTCAGTGGTGATCAAAGCAGGAGTATTGGCGGTTTTGTTCCTGCAGCTTTGTAAGTCTTGAACCCAATTGGGCGGATCTACTTCTTCTGCATTTTAATTTGGATCCTGATAAAATTTGAAGTTCTGTTGCTTTCAAGTTGCAACTTAAATTTTATAAATAACCTGTTATTGATTGTATTTAATTTACGAGATTTTTTTTGTTTAAATAGCTAATATCACGTAAGCATTCGCTCATTTGTTTTTTATTTTATCCAGTGAACGTACGCTCCTCTACGTTCGGATTAAGGCAAAAAAAGCGCAATACCGAGTACCGAGTTGTACCGAGTTTTTTAAAAAAAATTCGGTATTGCGCTGTTTTGGTCTAATACCGAACTTAGAGAAGCGTGTGTTCACTGGATGTAATAAAAGTTCGCGGCTAAGAGTGTCGATAAATGATCCAATTTGTCAATCTGATTTGTACCCAATCAAAAAAATTTTGACTCTAATTGACCCGTTTAATGAACAAGTTAAGTTTGGTTGACCCGCAAATCTATTATTCGCACTAAAATGATATGTTTATTATCTTTTTTTTTAATTTTCTTACTGATAGGTCCATAACCAATCAAACTGTGGATTTTTCAAAGCAAAAAGTGTGTTCGTTTGTATGAATATTGTTGGGTTTTCTTGGAGGATTGTTGGAGAGAATTGGGAGAGGGAGGGAGAGGGATTGATTTTTTAGAAAAATCAAATTAAAACTTTTTTTTAAGTCTCCCCAAAATTTTATAGAAAATCCAAACCACCATTTATAATACTACCAAACAAGATAGAATAAAGAAATAGAATAATAAAAAATGGTCCAAAATATAACAATCTCCACCATTACTCTAATTTTATAAAGGTTAGGGAAAAAAAACAAGCTTCCCACAAAGAACAACTTTATCGGTCTTCCCCGCCTATCGGTTAAATCACTACAGGAAAAATGGCTATTACCGGCGGTTCTAACCGGCGGTTAATGGACCGCCGGTAACACCGGCGGTTAAACCGCCGTCTGTTAACGGCGGTCTGCCGGTGTTTTTAATACGTTAAACCGTCGGTATTTACGGCGGTCAAACAACCGTTGGCAAACCGCCGGATTCTAATATTCACCGGCTGTTTAGCGGCGGTAAGGAACCGCAGGTAATAGTTTCCTACGCGATTTTTTCCGGCGGTGCAAAAACCGTCGTAAAGCCGCCGGTAGACAAAAAAACCGCCGGTTAATATAGGCTAACCGCCGGATTTCGGCATTTTTCCTGTAGTTAATGCTTTTGCTCCATTTTTTCTAGTTGAAACTCTCGCGCTCGGCTACTTGCAAGAACTCCTATATGGATTCACCTGTTTCTGATTGCAACTCAGAAGCTTGCAAAGCATCCCACCATACCCATCTGGCTCCGCCCACGCCCCGCACAACACCCGTGATCTGCACGTCCAACTAAAGTCCCACACCCATGCGTCTACTAGCGCCTCACCCATTCCTTCACATGCCACCTTGAGTAGTCCGACCAATGCCTAATCCCATGCTTCGCACTCACGCGACATGATTCTACTAGCACCGCCAATTGGCTATGATACCAATTTAACCGAAAACCCACACCTCTATTTATAACACTATCAAATAAGTAAGATACTCCAAAGAGACAGAATAAGTAAAAATGGACCAAAATATAACAATCTCCGCCATTGGTCCAATTTTACAAAGGTGAGGGGCAGCCTCTGATACCAATTTATTGGGTTTTTTTGGAGAATTCTTAGAGAAAAATGAGAGAGAGAGAGAGAGAGAGGGAGAGCTGTTGACTTTGGAGAAAATCCAACTTTTTTCAATTCTACTCAAAACTTACAAAAAATCAACACGTCTATTTATAACACTATCAAACAGGTAAGATGGACCAAAGAAAGAATAATTAAAAATGGATCAAAATACAACAAATATGAGCATAAAACATCTAGTAGTCATCCCTGAGGTTCATGAATAAAGCCAAGCAATCATCTCTCCAACTACTGATTTGTATGTCTCTTCAATCATCAATGTCTCAGGAAAATGATCCGATTCTCTTCTTACCTATACAATACAAAATTACAAACAAATCATCAATTCACTTCAAAAAAACTTACATATTTTTTTTAGTAATTTAACACTTTATGAAGGAAATTTTTTCTAAATAAAAAACATTAAAATATTAATATATTGGGAATATACTTTAAGATGAACCAACGCATTTATATTTATCTGACTCTCTCTAATTATGTTTTTAAACAGCTATTATTGATTTAATAATCCATCTCTTAAAAATTATTTTAGTTATAGCGAAATGAATTCTTAATGAAATAATAAAATATAAAAAAAAATGCAGAGGGTACTTACACGTGCATGCATCATGCACATGCTTCTGGAATAATTATCAGAGGAAAAATGAGCTGAAACCACCTCCACTTTATACTTATCAAGCAGGAAGAGCATTGAAGAGAGGAACCCTGCCTTCTTCACACAACAGATACTAATAAAAGCTTCTTCACCGGCCGCATTGAGCACCACATTAGGAGAAATCCAGGTCTGGAAGCAGACTGGAAGGCGAGGAACCACAGCAGCGGTCGCCGTCGCATTCCCGCTGCTGCTGTTCTTGCCCTGATCATCAGCCATGAAAGCCACTTTGCTTTCCAACGTAGCCGTTGCTGTCGGCGAGAGATCCACCATTAGCTGACGAAGCTTCTGCTTCTGGAGATTTTGTAGCGTTTGTTCAAGCGCTTTTATGTAGCTCACTGCTCCGTCCACTATGGTGGATTTATCTACCTATAGGATTGATTGGTCATTAGAGCTTGGATTAGCAAGGAGATTATTGATTAATTATGAAAACTTTACTTGGAGATTAATACGATAAAATGTTTTTTTTATGTATAATTAAACTATGCATGGATCTATTTAGAAAGTTTAGAATCTTAATAAATTGATGTATTTTGATAAATTAGAAAGAAAAATGTTATAAGGAACTGATGAAAAATGATGTGCCATTGATGGCAATTAATGAACTAAACTAATGGTGATTTATTGCGCAAGTTATATATTTGAATGAATTTGGACCCCCATCAATTACTTTGGTTAAGAGTTAAGATCATCAATGAGTAACGGTCGATCGCCTATATTTAATTTCCTCTTTAGGATTAAAATAATAATGGACAAAGTTGAAAATAAAATATACCAATATAAATTTAAAAAAAATATTTTAATTTGAATTTATTTAAAGGCTCATTTGATTGATCTATTTAAAATATATATTTTAAAAAATGATAAATTTGATGTATCGCTCATTTGATTTGGTCATTTGGATATACTTACAAATCAATCAAGGTCTGTAAATATCTTCAAAATCTCCATAAATTATATTATTATTATTATCATATGTGTGAATATAAAAAAATAAAAATCAAGTATTATTAAAAAAGCAAATAAAAAATAACTTTGTTGATTTGTCTAATTATAAAACCAATGGTTTCCAATTTATTCTCACCATATTTTTATTATTATAAATATTTTAATGATAATTAAATCATGAAATAAAAAAGAAGGATCTTAAGAAATTACTAAATTTGTCAAATTGCTTGTTTGGATGTGAATACTAGATTTTAGGATTCGTTTGAGATGACTACAACGTTTTATAAAGTTATTTATAAAGTTATTAAAAAAAAAAACTTTACTAATATGATTGCAGAAAGCAACTTGCTAACTTAAAAAAATTTTAATGACAATGAGAAGGCGGTAGTCAAATGAGATTGTGTGGTTGATGTCTTAAAATTAAAACAACTAAAAAGCTATCACAAATAGAAAAAAAATGTTTTGTTCTTTCATTGGATGGCATACAGAGGCAAATCAAAGTACTTTTTTTATGTACGTACCGGTGTTATGTATCGGGTGATGTGACACACTTTGATTTGCCTCTGGACAATCATGTGACCACGCATAATACTTTCTCCACAAATAGACCCTTAAGCTTTTCACATTCTCCTCTATGCTATAGCAAGCTCTTGAAGACTTCAATCCACAATTTTTTTTTTTTTACAAGCACAAAATGGGCAGTAAAGATCGATATAAAAATAGTTTTCCATGAATTTAATTTTAATCTAAGGAAATCAAATGAGCCCTTATAACTAATTTATACATTGCAAGCGTCCTGATTGAGTAATTTATTATAAAGAAAATGAAGAAGCATGAAATAAACATATAGAATCAATAAAGATAGCCACCTTAGATGGAAGGTCGGGGAGGAGTGCATGAAGATTACTAAACAAGTTTCTCATCTTCTTCCTCCTCTCCCTCTCTGTACATATATGCAACTCGCGATTTGACTCATCGTAAATTCGCAGGTCCTCAATGTTTTCTCCTCCACATTTAGAGCCGAGCAGTCTCTTCCCATCGCCATTCCGCTTTCGCTTCTCGCCGACACGAAGCTTCGAACTAGTTTTCATGGCGACCTCGCCACCACCTGTGTTGTCGGAGTTGGGGAAGGCCCAAGCGGCCTTCATATGAGCCTCTCCTTCTATGGGAGACATAGCGATGAGAGATATTGAGAGATGGATTTTGTTGGAGGAGGATGAAGGAAGAGAGGAAGAGCCTATGAGTTTTAAGAAGGTTAGGGTGGAACTGGAACAGACAAAAAATATTTCCTTCTAAGAAAACAAAATTATGAGAAATTTCGTATAGATTATTATATATTTGATTATGAGAAAGCCTAAAAGCCGTTATTGGCTCTAGAAATTTAAACGGGGAGTTGCAGTCCCACCGTGATATAATCACCACTGGCTTTGAGTTTTATTACGGATATAGCCGCCAGTCTGCTGTCAGTAGAGATTAGAAAAGATGGCCTTCTCGTAAATTTAGGAGAATTTGAGGGCATAACCCATTATTTTGTTTTCTTTTTTTATTTTGAGGTAATTTAAAAACTAATTGAGATTTCTTATTAAAAACCTATGCTATATGTTTTTAGATATTTTCAGATTTTTCGTGGCCAAAGGTTTTGGGCCCCACTATGAAAAACATAGTAATTAATAATTTTTATTAATTATGATTAAATTCCCTTAATTCTTAATATAATATATATATATATATATATATATATATATATGTACATCTATTAATTATATATTAAAAATATTTAAAAAGAAATTTAATAATTAACAATGAGTTGAATTAATTTTGAAAAAAATTAATGAACTGATTATATGATAAAAATACTAAAAAAGAAATATAATAATTATAAAATTCATTTTGATGAAATTTTAATCAATTATTCTTTCTTATATTTTGTGCTCTCTATTTATTTTTGTCTTAACTTATGTATCATCTTTATCTTGTCATTTAACTTCATCTCTCACGACTCTTATTAATGGATGAAATGAATTAAGAAGTGTGATTGGGTGGCTCTCAATAAAAGCATAGTTAAAACCCTAAACTATGTTTTACTGTTTAACACCGCATTTTTATTGTGCTTTTACTATTCATAGAGACAAAATCTAACGATTCTTTGTGTTTGATTTCCGCACGTAATAATCTCAAGGATAATTATTCTTTCATGACATCACATCATACTCTTTACTTGGAAAAAAAATAAAAAATATATAATATTTTAGTTTGGTCCTACTTCAAATTTTGAATAATCTATAGTTAATCGCTTCCTTATTTTGATATTCTACGTTAAAACTATAACGTTCATAATAGGAAGCTTTCAATTGTAACAAATGAGCTGCAGTATATGCTGTTTTTTTTTTTTTTACTTAAAGCTTTAATATCGGGATTATCAATATACGTAAATCCCCGAACTAAATAAAAAATTCTACAGATTTTCTTACAAACGTATTTACTATTTGATTCCAATCTGTTCTACGAGTAAATGTTTCTTCATAAATCATATCATAACATTTACTGGCAATTAATTTTGCTAATATTTATGCATAATTTATTTTGATCTGTTGGTTGAGAGCTTTTACTATCAATTAAGAAGTCTTGAGTTTAAATCTTGTGCATATGATATGTATGAATTTAATTTAATTGACCTAAATGTCCCAAAACAAATAATTAATTTTGCTAAATAATCTGAGTAATTAATTAATATTATGCTAAGGAATTAGGGCTATCGATCAAACTAGCAAATAGGATTGTTTATCACAAACATTCAAATTTATTGTTCTACAAAATTGTTGATACTTAATTCACTTATTTTCTTTTCCTAAATTATAAATACTCTTAATGAATTTCAGCCAGCATTAAAGCATATCCAATAGAGCTTCCCTATTTTTCCATTTTGAGACTTGAGAAAAACATTTATATAAAAATCAACTAAAAATCTCTTGAAGTCTCCCATTACAAGCAAATAATGTTAGGATTCCCAATAAAAATTTGGGTGATAGAATCGACCAGGGGAGTGGGAGCAGTAACAGGAATGGTCCAACTATGATCATTGATACCGAGCATTAGGGAGATCTAGTTTTGTATTTGAAGCAGATTACAACATCAAAGTTTTAATCTAATAGCTCTCCATCTACCACTTGAGCATGTCATCAAATGCAAGGCTAATAGCAGGGAAAAGAAGATTCTTTACAACATATGGTTTTGATTCACTACAACACAACAAACTGTAAACAACTAAAAAAATGCATAGGGGGGGGCAAAAATAATAAGCTACACAACTGTCTGAGAGATCCACATTTTGTAATTCACAGAAAGAATCATTCGACAGTTATAAAAGGATAATAAAATGAAACAATAGATTAGGTGCACTTATCTAACTATGATGGCTTTGGAATTCTTCATTCTTTACTCTAGATAATAACACAGTTCTGTTCACCATTCGTTATTTTCTTTCCCCTACTAATCTCTCTTTTTCGGTCACCAAACTGCCACTTCCAGCAACCGAAGTGTTCTTCGTGAAGATTTCAGGTGATATATCCCAGTTGCTGCTTCTCCTACCCCAGCTGGAATTTCTGGCATCAGTTCTTGTTATGGGAATCTCAGTTCCAGTGAAGGGGACCTGCCTATCCAACTCGGATACAACTTCTGACTCAGAAGCGGTTCCAGGCCTCCCACTATCATTTCTACGGTCAATCTCCTCGTCAAACTCCTGAATGCTTCGCCGCTGGGAGATCTTCAGCAGGTCCCCACCAATATCAAGATCATCTTCTACTTTTGAACGATGGTAGGTTCCAAAATCATCATCAGGTTCTGCAGGACGAGCATTCGGACTCGGTTTCGGAGCCTCTTCTTGCACGAAGGCACGGAAGTCATTCCTCGAGGGCTTAACTTTGGTGCAGAATACCTCCATGAAGTTGTTCAGGCAACCCCGGTCATACACATTGCGTCTACGGTCAGTTCTGTACCGGAAATTCTCATATGTGGTCTGAAGCACAAGAAGAATATTCAAGCTTTTTCGTCAAACTAATAGGGTGAAGGTAGGAAACGCAAGAAACATACACAATTTAACACATCATATTGCCATAATCCATTCAAGTATATAAGGTATAAAGATCCTATTGGTAAGATAAACATATGAAACAATTAAAATAATTAAATGCCAAATATAACATTTTTTTTTTCAAAATATCTTTAGCCACTATTCATGGGTTTTTTATCAAAACAACATGTTCTAAAGGTTGTAGGCGGCTTTTATTATTCTTTTTTACTACCTCAAGACTAACTTCAGAAACATGTAAAAGATTGTAGGCAGCTTCTACTAATAACAAGACCGACAAGTTCCTCATTTCAGTGATTGATGAGCTACTGGATAAGTTATGTGGTGTTCACCAAGATGGATATGAAGTCGAAATACCATCATATCAGGATGCGGGAGGAGGATATTCCAAAGACTATTTTTAGGACACATGAAAGGCATTATGAGTTCTTAGTGATGTTATTTGGGATCACCAACGTCCCTGCCACCTTCCAGTCGCTCATGAAAAGGGTGTTCATTATATATCTAAAGAAGTTTGTATTGATCTTCTTTGATGATATTGGTGTATAATTTGTTTAAATTAGTTGGGGTTTTAAGTTTAAGGGCATAACCTATATACTAAGGTTTGGCTTAGTTTAGTTAAATTTACTCTAATAAAAAAAGTTCTTGACACAAGCTTAGCACTGTTTACAAGAACATTAAATAATTTCATATTGGGAGAGGTTTAAAATCCAAAAAATCATTGTAGTGCCTTGACGCATCATTCACATCTAGGCTATGATGCACCGACACTCCGCTTAAAGAGGGTATGCAGTGTCGGACACAGACACGCGTCGGACACGGCATGGACACATGTCCGACACGGCATTGGAGTGTCGCAATTTAAAAAATTAAAATTAAAATCGGACACGCGTGTCCGGTTATTAAATGAGGTATCGCTAGGTAAATGCTCGGTACCGCTTAGTACATGCTCGGTACCGCTCAGTACATGCTCAGTACTGCTAGGTATATGCTCGATACGTCTCAGTACATGCTCGGTACTGCTCAATATATGCTCGATACCGCTAGGTACATGCTCGGTACTGCTAGGTACATGCTCAGTACCACTTGGTATCTTCCCATACAAATAACTTACGAACTTTAAAAACAAGCAGAACTTCAAAATTACTTAAAATAAAATTTTCGTATATTGTTGTATTAATGTTGTCTTATTATTGTGATATTTTGATTTTACTTCATATCAATTTAATTTGATGTACTAATAAGTATGATTGGTTTATTAGCAAAATGAGCTCTGCTACTGGGGGGAGTGGATTAGGTGAAGGTTCAAAAGAGCCATCTATCCACGCCGTGTCCGTGTCCTATATTTTTAAAAATTATTATATATTATATTAAAAATTTATTATGTCGTGTCCACACTGCACCCGTGTCCTATATTTTTAAAAATTGCCGTGCCATGTCGTGTCGTGTCCGTGTCGCCATGTTCATGTCGCTGCATCATAGCATCTAGGTTGATTTTATTCGATATTGTTTATTTGTTGTGTCAATCTTAACCTGATCAAGCTGGACCAATCATTTTTTACAAAAGATAAACCACAATCAAATCAAACTCAAACATAACATAGCCACAATGATGACATATTTTCAGTTTTGTAAGATCTTTGGCTTTATCATTCTGCAAAACCTTTAATTTCAGCTTCACCAGGTGAAGAAGCTTATCAATACAAAGTAAAGAAATTGAAAAGACTGAAATCATTAATGACTTGACACAGGTAAAAGGAAGTTAATAAAATAAAGAAGATGTCATATGAAATTTTAAAAAGAGAGAGAATTTAGAGTTATTCATTTATTAACTACAAATGGTAGATTGAGAAATGTTATATTAGAAAGATGGAGAGTAGTGCATAATGAGGATAAGAACTGAAAAATAGATTCAAGTTCCTTGAAAACATATAACATAGAATAGAAAATCAACCAATAAGATGCATGAATAAAATTAAAGCAAAAAATTTTAAGGAGAAAGGACCAACGTAACTTGTCTAGAAGTTGCGCAAAACAATTTACACAAAATATAAATATTAATTAATGCAGTACTTAATAGGAATGAATGGATAATGAGAATCCAAAAAGCTGGACGAAATAGTTAGGACAAGGTAAATGATGATGATGAACCATTCAAAGACTACTTAACATGCCAAAAATTTTATTATTCAAGAAAGAGGTGAATGGTCAAAGGGACCAGGTATGCTTTTATTTGTATGGCTTTTACAAGGTTTTAAAAAAAAAAAGGTAATGGAATATCAATCTTAGGTGAACAAAAGAGTAATTAGAGGGAAGAAGGTTGTAGAGAATTTGGGAACCATGATGGCATATCAAGTAAGGATAATTGTATGTCAGAATGAACAGATGAGTGTTGGATCAATGGATTATGAAAGGCTATATCATGCAAGTCCGATACAGTTGCATCTTGTTTGCTGATAGTATACCATTTTTTTCCTTTTCAGCCTTAGAATCTTCTTGATATGTTACATAAAAGTCTTTAGAAACCTTAAAGGATTTTTTAGCCTCCACGTTTGACATACCACAACCCTGGTTGATCAAAGGAAACCAAATAATAGACCGTATGGCATAAAAATTTATTTGTTTTAGGGAAGTTTTCCTGCTTTTAAATAACCCACAAAAGGCTTCCTTCAAAACCATGGCTAAACTTCCCAGGCTTTCACTACTTGGCTATCATAAGGTGAAGGCACTTCGTCATATATTTCAAGCCTAGAATAAAATTGGTTTTCATAACGATTTTTTAAAATAAAGATCTGAACCACAAAATCAAGTAACACCAAAATCGTAATTCAACCTCTTATAAGCCCACACTATCCAGCTAAAAAGAATAAAAATACTAATGAAAAACAGAGCAATACCAACAGTGCGTCTGGAAACTGATTTGATTGAATCAATTCTAAAATTGTTAATTACATTTTCTATGCAGTTAAATAAGTATCTGGATGTTTATACCACTATGTATTGAAATAACATTATAAATACCAAGAAGTGCCTCAATCGTATAAATAGAGCCAGGTCTTGAGAAATATAAAGCTAATGACAAATTAAGTGGTTTTGGGTCAGTACAAACCAAACTTTCTATATCTTGATCAAATTTCACATTAAACATTAGAAATTTGTGGAAAATTGATGGACTAGCCGATTTGATTAGGAGGGAAGTAGGAAAGTTTTCTAATCAAGAGAGAACTATTTATGAAGGTTCTTAATCAAGGGGGAATTGTTTAGAAAAACTTTTAATTATAATTTGGAGGGAATTATTAGGGCAAGAGATCTAATTTGAATACAAAATCTAAGAGTAAATTATTTAGGGAAAGGGAGGAGGAATCAAGATGGAATTGTTTGGGAAAGTTTTAATTACAATTGGGAGGGAATTATTTAGGACAAAAGATGTAATTTGAATTCAAATATGAGAGAAAAATGGTGTTGATTTGAGAGGGAATTAGGAGAGCCTATTTAAGGCTAACAATAGGGTAATTTCAGGATTCAGTTTTGAGAGTTTTCTGAATTTAGTTTATTCTTAGGTTATTGGGCTCTAGCCGGCGGCTAGGGATTTGGGAGAGCCGGATCATCCTCTCCAATTGAAGATCCAATTGTATCTTGCATTTCTCTTTATAACTCTTTCAATAAAAATTATTTTTGGGCATTCTTTTTCCCAAATTTTCATGTTTTACCTGCTAATTTTTGTGAAAAGTGCATCCACTTCCTATCAATTTGTTATCAGAGCCTAGATTCAAGTACATATGGCGGGAAGAAAGGTAGAAATGTTGAAAACGTAGACCGGACAATTGAAATATGATTTTGTAGAAAAGATTCAAGTTTTGAAAAGCAATTTTCATCCATCCATGAGAAGATCGGTGAGAAATTTGCCATCATGGAGGAGATGATAAATAAGCTATTTGAGGTCTAAACCAAACCTACAACATCGGAGGTGAGAGCATCGTTTACCGAACAAGGAAATGAGAGAAACCCTTGTGGGCTCCGAAAATTCGGCCCTGGCCTTCGCCCGCTATGCTTTTTCTTTTTCGGGGGATTTTTAACGGAATTAAGTTCCGGGATAAATTTTGGAAGGCAGATAAGTTTGTAGATAAGACACTACCCAAAGATTTCGCCATCATTTTGTGAGGACTTTATGATCTGAGTTCTGGTTTCCTATAGGCGCAAGCCCCTATAGTTAATTACCCCTCCCGATCACGAGAGAGAACTTTCGATTAAGGCTAGTCGTCAATCAGATACGTAGAAGAGATATGTGTTATCTAACATATAGTAGCATCATGGGTTTGAGCATTGAAGAGCTTAGAAATGATTGAGAATTTGAAATTTTGATATTTAAAATTGAAAATTTCACCATCTTACACTTAAAGCGGATGATAGGGGAATGGATGATGGACCCGATCAAGATCCCATGATTCTGTCATCCCGGGCAATCATGGTCCCTGGTCTACTTAGTCATAAGAGGTAGTCGATCCAACCTGACAGAATGATCCTTGTCGACAGCCATGGGTTGCTTCATCCAAGGGGACCTTGTAAACTTTGGATGAATGCTTGTCTACGAGGACAAATTTGAATCTACCTTAGCTAACAGAGGGCTTTGTGCCATATCGATCATGTCCTATTGATTCATATCTCAAAAATTTAATGTCATTAAGGAACGTATTAGCTCTGGCCATAACCGGTATTACGTGGTGCCATTTGGTGGCAAAACCACTCGGTTCATAGGGCCCTGGGTCATAGCAATTTATCATGCGGTGCCATTTGGCGGCAAAAACGCCGGTCAGAGGACACGTACCATGTTCATACTGGCAGGAGATTGTTTGAGAATGGATCCTAATGATATTTTTTACTAAGAATTTGGCTCTATGTGAGCTGAAGTAATTTTAATATTTGTCCAC